TTTGCGACCAGCATGGGTCCAGACCAGCCTGCGCATCCGCGCAGACTGATCAGGATCCATGCTGTTCGCTTACCAACCCTTTTACAAGTAGAGAAACTGATAGCGAACAGCATTGATCCTGATCAGACTGCACGGATGGCACAACTTTAATTCTTCAACACTTCTGATTATTGGAAAATTCAAAGAACGGAATTTCCAATATGTGCGTGCTTCTTGTTGACCGTGTTTTCACGTCAGCACTAATTGCTCATAAATTGCCGTTAAATTGCTATTAAATTACGTAAAATCTTTGAAAAGTGCGTGCACTAAAGATATTACAGAAACGAAGTCATTTCGATATAGCGAATTGTTGCGGATAAACATGCAAGCGAAAAAAGGAATACAATATTATTATCGCTTTAGAATTACTCACAGATAATCATTTATTTTTTTATTTATTTTTAGTATTATTATTTTCCTTTAAAATATTTTTGGTACTGTTGCCTTTAAGTTGATTGTGTGGTTAAGCATACATTAATGTCAAGTGGAAATTGTTTTTACTTTACCACGGGCAATAAGGATAGTACATTCATCGCTTATAGTCGGCATATTTCGTCACTTTAAGTTTTTTTTTCAATCGGAACGTCCTCGGCTATTATTCATAATTTCTTATCGGAAAGGCCCGAAAGGTTGCGACAGTACATTTTCTAAGATTAATACCAATTCTAGTCCTTATAGATATACTCGTATAGAAAACGGAAAGAGATGAAATTTACAGATTTTTTACCGAATAATTGAAGGTTGTAGAACCTTAAACGGAAAAATTAGTACTAACACGCGTAGTGTATATATATGGAAGGGAAAAAAAACTTATAGACTTATGGTCTATTTGCACTCTTGGCTGACATCAAAAATGTAAACAAATGTGTATTTTTGACACAAAAAAGGATTGACGTGTCCGCTTAATCGACAAAAAATGTGAACATTTCGGCTAATGGTCTTTAGGAATGTCCTGTAATTAATTGTTTGGGATTACAATCTAGCGTTTATAAATGAAAATAGACTGCACTTTCTTACTGTCATTTAAAAAAAATCTCTCGTAATTTATAAGTTATAAAACTGACTTATTTTTCGTTTGAAAATGCATTAATGATTTTTATGAACAGCCTTTTATTTTGACAAAACTATCAGATTCTATTTTCTGTTTATTTTATAAGTTATAAGGGTGAAAGCTCAGTTTTTATTGAAATTATGCCTCAGAAAGGAATAAATTTTCCTTCTTTTAAAAGAGCAAACGTTGAATAATGGTTTTACAGCCTTTAACTTCCATACAGAATAATCACTATAACTGCCCTTATTACCAAAAGGCAATAGAAGCCAGCGATGGTGTAGCTAATTGGCTAATGAGTAACTTTTTTGGAAACTGAAACATGACACAAAAAGATGGCTTTTGAGAAATAGGAATAAAAAGCATTTCTGTGGAATAATGTGCCTTTAAATTGATCTGATACGCGATATAAATTATTTACAATGCCAACACTTAAACTGCAGTTAATGATATAAAACAATATAATATGGAGAATACATTATTTTGAAAGGGCAGCAGCAATCATTGTAACTTTAAATGTATATATTTTCATATGAAAGCCTGTCGTTATTCATTACGAATACTTAGTATTCTTTTTAGGGTGACGAAAATCGTGGTTTTCAATCCCATTGACCGATTTCCGGCCGTCAAACTATTTTCTAACTAAAGTACTCATTACTTATTAATCATCTATATAAAATAATATGCTTAGAGTAAAAGTAATCCATTTGAATTGTATAGCCTCTGCTATGACAGTATAATAACGATCATTGTATTAGAATAATAACGAGTAATTACGACTACAGGCGCAATGCATACGCTTGCTGCCGCAGAATGATAACTATCGCTATCACAGTATAATTACGATCATTTTTTGCAAAATAATAACGATAGATGTCACAGAGTAATTACGAACGCTGCCGCAGAATGCATCCGCTCGCTGTCACAGACTGTCACGAAATGATAACTATCGCTGTCACGGTATAATTACGTTCGCCGTGACAGTATAATAACGATAATAACGAATATTGTAACAGAGTAATATCGACATCCGGCGCAGAAAAAGATAAAGTAGGAAGCATTTTATAATGATATTGAATGCAAGAATGTTTCTCTTTTAGATTTACTCATCACTCGTGTAGAAATATCTATCATTGCAGTTTTAGTTTTCTCGAGGTTTTCATTACTCGCGGTTTTCATTTACTCGTGGTTTCATTTTCTCGCGGGTTTCATTTACTCGCGGTTTTACTTCACTCGCTGTTATACTCGACTATCAGGTTAACATTACTTTACTCACGTATTTTACATTACTCGCCATTTTTCTTTACTCTTTGCTCGAAAGAATTTAAATTATGTTAACTTAACATATGTCATTTTAATAAGCTCAAAAATCTGTTAAATTTGTCAAATTTGTCACACAATGGCATGTTACATACATAGATTAACATTTCGCTATGATAGACATAAGCAAAAGTTGCAGAAACAGTTAATAAGCATAAAATGTAACATATGTTGTTTTCAATTACGAGAGATTTCGTCTGAAGTACTTTTCTAGCGTAGCTTTTAATGATAATCATATTCATGTTTACAGTTGTAGCCTTGAATGTTGATTATCTGCTGTACATGTATTTACTGCATGCATTTTTCTGTTGTTCAAAATTTAGGCTTTGTGTTCGTCTCAAGTTGATTCGTTAATTGTTGTTGTTCATTCTTTCTTTCTTGATTATAAACTCTGTGTCCTATTTTATTATAGATATTTTATACCCTAATTTAGGTTGCCACTGTAAGACGGTATCAGCTATATAAAAAAACTGATATTTAACAAAATCCAATATCTAAACAAAAACAACAAAGCTGGTGGAAAATACTAAGAATAAAAATGACGTGTTTTCTTTCTATATATTGTTCGTTTCATCTTTATGGACGTAATTAGATGTAAACTCTTTGATGACTGAAAATAAATATATTTGTCTTTCAACTGTCTTGTGATAGATTTAGAAATTCTATAAAAGGTATTGCTTGGTTACCAACCCCCGTAACATAAGTTCATTTAACTTGAAACTAAAAAGAACAATTGAAGAGTCGTATCGATTTGTAATCGGGTGTGGCATTTATTGAGTTGTTTTTGCAATGTCATCAAAAGTTATTAAAAGCTTTCATTCTGTGCATTTTTATCTCTCAAATATACATAGGTGATGATGCAAAAAGCGAAAATGCTAAACTGATACCAATAGAAAATACATTGTATAAGTCAATGGCAGTATCAATAATTACTAAATATTATGCATTTACGCAAAAGATAGAGATAGAGATATGCATATCAGTATTTTCATTTAGCTTACGTTTTATCATTCTGGAATGGAAACTGATTTACCCCTAATCATTTCTTTCTTAAATTTTATTGTCGTTGTCGTCGTCGTCGTCGTTGTTGTTGTTGTTGTTGTTTCATTTCTGCGACATAATAGCTGTTCTTGTAAATGTTTAAATTGAAACGCTGTATGGCTTACTTTCATGGTAATATGCAGTTGGGAATTGTGTTCCTAAGCGACAGACATTTATTTCTATGTAGCGTAGGTTACATTTATATTTACATGAAGCATTAATAGTTAAGTAAATCGAAATGCCATTCCATGAACGGATATTTAAATCTTATTTAAGTTTTGTCTCTAACTTAGGACTCCATCGAGTGAAAACAAAAGTTTAAAGATTATATATGGTCCGTACAATCTGAAACTGGACAATTATGAAAAAAAGCAAATCTATCCACAATGATTAAGTCGGTGAACCGCATAATGGTTCGTACTCCCCTCCGTAGTTTCTGGTATCAAAAATTTTATCAAAAGTTTCAATAAAATTTACACTTCTTGTACTGAAGTGAAGATAAATAGGTTTGTGAGATGAGAGTAAAGTAAGGACAGGAGCTACTACTTAATTATCGCTGTTTAAGATATATTACACTGATGTGAGATATTTGACCCCATTTGACTGTCACATTCCATCTCGGGATATAAATGGGGGTAAAAAAGTATATAATAATTACTATACGGTACGCTGTAGTATATCTCCGGGACATCTGTGTATTTTATGTGTCTATTGTTGACAAATACTTTCATTCATACACACAAAAACCCTAAGGATTAGTATATAATCCGAAATCTATGTTAGGTTTTACTGGGTGATCGATACACCAATATCATGACTCATCTGCAACCTAACCCATGTGCCCTGATCAATGTAATAAATAGGCCCCATGAAAAGAAAACATAACAAAAATGTGAACATGTGTTTAGAATATGTATTCTGTTCGTACATGAAATTACAATAAGGCGTGGGAAATTAACAGTGAAACTCTTTTAAAATACTTGTTTCAGATTTAGTATATTTAGTACATAATTACTTATACGTAAGATGTACATCTTAAATATCGCATAAACATATCATATTAGAATATTCTATGAAAAGAACAACAACAACAGAGCATTTATAGAACAGAAATACAAATAACGAGTTTGAACAACTGCAATTGTTACCGCATCTCAGTCGCTGTCACGCGAGTGTTATTGTCAACATCGTAATAATTAATTTAAACACCGTATCTGAATCTTAATAGAAAGAAATATTTACTACACTGTAGCAAAATATAAAGTGAAATATTCATTTTGTTGTTAATATTGTATTATAATGCGCCTTAATGACAGAGATCTGGAAATGCTTGAATGAATGCTAATCGGTATGAAAATTAAAAATCATTGTGTTCTGTACTCGTTTTGAAAATTCGCATAAATGCATGAAAAGAACAATAAAGAAGTCACGTGCTGATGTTTGTTCTAACACATAACGGTGCTTTTCTACGCATACAATTTTGCTTGTTTAATGGCGCATAAACTGAAGGCCATGTCATTTATGAAACTCTTATTTTCTTTTTCTAAAACAGTAATTTGAACCGACAGAGGACACAGGAAAGTTTTCAAGATGGGAAACAAAGGAGGAAAAATGAAAGTAACGAAGGGGAAAGGGGAGAAAGACGGAACTGAAGCTGACAAGAATAAGACTGAGGCAGACGAGAATAAAGCGCCTGAGGGTGATAAGGCACCGGAAGCGTGTGCTGAAGCGTCTGTTGATCTAGATGCAGACAAAGCTGATGCAAAGCCGGAAGAAGTAAGTGTTACTTGTTCTGAATGCTGGGGAAAAGTGGAATGTTTTTTTGTCTTTATACTTAATTAAAAGAGTTTGTATGCATATTATTGTAGAAACAATACGAGTTTAAGTTAATGAACAATTACATGTATTTATTACAAAAGGATTTTTTTGACGGCCGTTGTTCGTGCTGTCCCTGAAATGTAAAAAATTCACAGCCCTTTGCTGGGACGATCATGTAAGATTCTACTTTAAATGGCTAAAAAAAATTGCTTCTCATTTTGCACTTTCTCTGGTCGTTTTGAGATATATAATGTGTCTTCTATACAGATACATGTGCATTGTACTTTAACGTTCAAGTGAATATGAGTTTCCACCTTTTTTTACAATCATCCTTTGTTTAAAAGACAATTCTGTGGCCAAGGAAATGAGGTGTTTGTTTATGGGTCGTCTTTAAAAACAAGTTATTTGAGCCGCGTCACGACAAAACCAACGTAATGGGTTTGCGACCAGCATGGATCCAGACCAGCCTGCGCATCTGCGCAGTCTGATCAGGGCTTACGGACTGTATAACAAGTAGAGAAACTGATAGCGAACAGCATGGATCCTGATCAGACTGCGCGGATGCGCAGGCTGGTCTGGATCCATGCTGGTCGCAAACCCATTATGTTGGTTTTGTCGTGACGCGGCTCATTTTTGTTTTTCATGAAAGAGAAAATTGTTAGGTGTTTGAATTATGTCTTATAAGGTTATTATATCTAGGATGTGGCCTTCAATAAATGTTTTAATGTAATCATTTGTTGTCTAGATGTTACGTCACACGTCTCGTCTGCTTTATTTTTAAATGACGGTACTAAAAATAATCTGTAGACTTTACAGACTTTTAGATTCAGAGCGTTTTAAGAAAGACTCAACTATCCGAAAGACATTCAAAACATTAGCATCTTTTATTTTAATATTCTCTCTAAATCTATTAAGATTATTTATAGATGTAGAGAAGAATTTGCTATTGCAATTTTACCGTCTGTATTTCAAGTGTGTTATTTATTTTTCGTCTGCATTCGAGTTGCATAAGATATTTTCTCATAATAATTGTAATAGAGAAGGCAGTATCGTTGTCGTTATTGATGGATGCAGTATAACTTTTAAGTTCATTTGTGCCATTCCCATAATTTTAGATGAAGACTTCATTTAGTAGTGCGCTCCGTAATCCCTTTAAAATTTCACAAATCTCAAGCGATGCTCGGTTAACATTTATAAGAATTGCATCAAATATCGAATGAAATATGTTCTTAAAATTTGACCAACAGTTTACATATGTAGCTCAAATGTAAAGTAAAACATATGTACATGTAAATCTTAACAAAATGCTGCCGGAAATAAATGTTTAAATTTTTTTACTTGGACTGACGCCACCAATGTCTAAATGTGAATTTTAATTCACCATAATTTTAGGATTTTTTTTAAATATGTACACTGTATATGTAGAATTATACATTCATTATAAAATGTTGGCAAAGGGTTTCATTACAATGTTTGATAAATTAATTATACATTAAGACTGACGGCATGTTAGCTATAGATTAACCTGTGTTTAGAGTGTCGGCATGTGTTAACACAAAACTTTTCATGATTCTTTAAAGATGATATTGGAAGTGAATTTCTCCGGAAATGCCAGTTCTGTAGTTATAGAGTTATATTATATAAGTCCAAGACATGATGCATGTTTTCTTCATTTATTTTGTTGGTATGCTCATTTTTGGTTTTGGGTTTTACGACAAATCAAAGACAATCAGCGTGTTGGTTTTTTAATGTCTGCAACGCCGCTTTAATTAACTTAAACGATTCATGCACAGAAGTTGATACTAAATTGTTCTGGCATAGAACAGGAGAGTTCTGGTAAATGAATTTAGTATTTTACTGCCAGTTTAGGAAAGAAACTACTGATTTATCATTGAAATGTACTACTTATGTCATACAATTTGAATTAATACTCATATTTGTATGTTAGGATGATTGTCTTAAGCACAGGTTTGTCTGTATTTGGTGTGATACATTTATTTTATGCTTGTATACACGCGATACGTATGTTAGATTGTCGAGTTCGGGTTTTAATTATTATTGATTGTATTGCATGACTTAGTACTAACTATTTTCTAACAATACAGGCGGCTTCAAAGGAAGGTGAAACGAAGGAAAAAGAAGTGAAAGAAGGAGAAAATACAGAGAAAGACTCTAATGATAAAAAAGATGTAAATAAAGAGGAAACTGACAAAAAAGACGATAATACTGTAACTGACAAAAAAGACGATAAGTCTGAAACTGAAAAAGATAAAGATGCGACGGAAACAAAAGTTGAAACTGAACAAAAAACTGAAAATAATGCAAATGAAAATACTGAGGAGAAAGATAAATCCGAAACTAAAGCAGAGGAGCCAAAGCAAGAAATTAAAGAAAACGAAACCACAGAAGCCAAAGTAGCGGAATCGACAATAGAAGAGGTCCCTGCAACTAAAACTGAGGTCTCAGAAACTAAATCTGAACCTGAAAAGCAAGAGCAAGAAGAAAAACCTAGCACAAATGTTGCTATAGTCCAACCGCTTTCAAATGAAGGAAATTCGGACGACAAAGTCGAGGAAGATAAAGCTGTTAACGATGAATCTAAAGAATCAGAAACTGTAAATAATGAACAAGAAGTTGAAAAGGCTGAACCGTCAAGTAATGTTGAAAGTAGTGAAGCAGTTGTTAATGGTGTAGAATCAGTTGCAAATGAAACACCTGTTCAAGGTAAAGAGGACGATAAAGAAGCTGAGACCGAAAAGGACTCTGAAGGTAAAGACCAACAATTAACAAACGGAAATATCGAAGTGGATAATGAGTCAGCTAAAGAAGATGTAGAGAAATCCAAAACTCCTGTACATGAGGACGATGATACGTCTGAGGTTTGAATAGAGTTTGTTTTCAAATATTTTTTTTATCATTTTAAGCATGAATTAATCTTAGTACAAGCCACGTGGTCTCCAATTAGTGCCGTGTCATTTCGCATGTTGCTATTGAAAGAATTTTGGTTTTGAACTTTTTCTCTAAGTAGTTGAGTTTACAAGATATATTGATATGAATAAATTCCATAAACAAAATTTATTTATTAATTTTAGTTATGGTGATTTACAAGTGTATATAAGTTATTCATATATCGATCTTAAGATATAAACTGTATGCACATTCATTAATAGCTTAAAGTCAAATGCAAATGAATGAATGCATGTTTGGGTTGCATGACTCATTATGAATGTTTTTCATTTTTTGATATTTCATTAGAGAATGCAAAATGCGTTAACTTTTAAAAGTATACATGTTTAGATATATAAAAGTTTGAATGCAAAATTGTGACAATAAATTGCAGTATTTTTGTAAAATTCAGGGTAGTGCATGGTTGCTAAAATATCTGTTTTGTAAATGTACTAATTTATAAATATTTCAGGAGAAAGTGTCTACTGAGTTCCGATGGGAGGGCGAAGGAGAGAGTGTTGAAATCGGGGGCTCTTTTAACGACTGGGGAGACAAAATCAAGTTAGAGAAGAAGTAAGCGAGACTTGTTTGTTTTTGTTGTTATTTTTCAACTAGCACGTCCAACTTGAAAATGTGTTTATCAGGTTGCCCTAAGGCAGATTACAATGACTTCTTGTATAAGTTATTGATATGTACATCTGCAAAGTCGGTTTGTGGCTTTCGGGCGTTTATCTGGAAGTACACATAGGATGTCTGCTTTTTAGTATTGTAAATGTCGGTCATAAACTCAAACCGAATATATTTATATAAAAAAAAGATACATTGTTAATAGAACAGCATTATTATATATACATTTCATTTTGTTACATACTATAAAGCATTTTCTCACGGATGAACTTGTTTGCCTGTACGTATCCGGGGATTGTTTAAACCCTTAATTACCAAACGGGAAGATTTGTGAAAAACGATAAGTACAAACCTCACAATAAGTTAAATACGTTATTAATAACTTATTTACCACTACTATAATAGTTCCCTTTATCAAATAGTATGTTACCCAAAAATAATACGTAATAAGTTTACTATTTCAGTACTTTGACTTGGGGCTTGTACATCATGTAGTAGAGTTTAAAGCCAGGATTGCACGAGACGTGGAAGCGTTTCGTGAGATCTGGTTGAGCAGCATCCACAAGAGTCAAACACAAGTATCAAATTGATATACAACTGCTACGATCCTTTTTTGTTGGAAACATCCTCATGTCTTTTTATTATTTAATTATATGTATTATCATATATACTCGACCATGGAATGATGGGAAAGTAAAATAAAGTATTTCTAGAAACGTTATATACCAGTTTTGGATACATATACGATTGTCGTTTCTGAATTGTAAACAGTATGATTATGTTGAGGACATATATGCTGATTTAGAAGAATGTAATTCCCCTTGTGACTTAGGGGTTGCCTTTAAAGGTTGAGGCATCAAAATTGCAGCCACCATTTATCCCTGCGTGGTCGTAAGATGCGGCTAAACGGGTCCGAATTACTGAAGTCTATGCATCTCTTAGCTCTAGATAGCAGGTGAGGTTGGTTGCTTTACGTTTGTAACACCCGAGGTTAGCCAAAGTCATTTTTCGGCGCCATATGACCTAACATGTGCTGGTACGCCATTAAACCAAACAAAACAAACAAGAAAGAAGAATGTAAATTTAAAGATGATTTAAAATAAAACATCTGTAAAAGGTTGTGAAATTTCATTTGTAAACATGTGTTCTAAAATATATATGACTAAGAGTCACGGGACCGAATGCATACGGCGTGATACATAGTACTTATTGATGCATTTTGTATAATATATATAAGAAGAGCAAAATTTTACAAAATATTTTGTCACTAAGTAAGGAAGTTCATAGTGAGTACAAAAAACAACAACTAACAAACAATAAACCACCAGATTTATCATTGAAGATAAAATTCTTTTCAGTATAGAAATATTGTGAACATGCTTTGAATACATGTATCACTTAATTGCGGAAGTTGCATCTTGATGGTTTGTAAACATTTCAAGATCACCGTCTAAGTTTCGGTGCATAAAAGATTAAAAGTACAAAGAAGTAAACATAAAATACATGTTCCATTTCATACACAATGCAAAAAAAACTTGACGAGTATGTAACTTTTAAACACGACCCAGATTATTTGTTTGAAAATATGTATATACATTTTGTGGTTCATATATATATTTGTATTGAAAAATTTATTCAAAATTTAATTTTCTTTTTAATTACGCTTGAGCTGAAATTTTCTATTTCTTTTTACCTCTGTACCAAAATGGAAGCGTTTCCTGTTTAGTTTCTTGTATTGTACTGTGTATTTGAAACAACAATTCCATATAAGAATTATTTGTTTATTATTGTTGCGTGGTAACTTGACTGTATACTGACCATTAGTTGATTAATCCTATATTTTCAGAGATGATGTGTTCACAGTTTCCGTAGATTTAAAGCCTGGGGAGTATATGTACAAGTACTTCGTTGATGGCGATTGGAAAATTAATTCAAACCAGGTAACCATAGATATATCTACATGTATATATTATGTATGTGAGGTATCACGAAATAGAAAACTTAACAAATTATACAAGTAAACAACATCGCAGAATAAAGACACGACGCTCTCTGTCTCATAATAACGATCGCTGTCACATAGTAATAACATAAGCTGTCACAAAATGATCACGATTGCTGTCTCAAAATGATTACGATCGCTGTCTCAAAATGATTACGATCGCTGTCACAGAATGATCATGATCGCTGTCTCAAAATGATTACGACCGCTGTCTCAAAATGATCACGCTCAAAATGATCACGATATCGCGCTGTCTACAAAATGATTACGATCGCTGTCTCAAAATGATCACGATCGCTGTCACAGAATGATTACGATCCTGTCTCAAAATGATCACGATCGCTGTCTCAAAATGATCACGATCGCTGTCTCAAAATGATTACGATCGCTGTCTCAAAATGATCACGATCGCTGTCAAAGAATGATTACGATCGCTGTCTCAAAATGATTACGATCGCTGTCTCAAAATGATCACGATCGCTGTCTCAAAATTACGATCGCTGTCTCAAAATGATTACGATCGCTGTCTCAAAATGATACGATCGCTGTCTCAAAATGATTACGATCGCTGTCTCAAAATGATTACGACCGCTGTCACAGAATGATCACGATCGCTGTCTCAAAATGATAACGATCGCTGTCACAGAATGATTACGACCGCTGTCTCAAAATGATTACGATCGCTGTCACAGAATAATTACGACCGCTGTCACAGATGATCACAATGATCACAGAAATGATTACGACCGCTGTCACAGAATGATTACGACCGCTGTCACAGAATGATTACGATCGCTGTCACAGAATGATTACGATCGCTGTCACAGAATGATTACGATCGCTGTCACAGAATGATCACGACCGCTGTCTCAAAATGATTACGATCGCTGTCACAGAATCACATTACGATCGCTGTCTCAAGAATGATTACGACCGCTGTCTCAAAATGATTACGATCGCTGTCACAGAATAATTACGACCGCTGTCTCAAAATGATTACGATCGCTGTCACAGAATGATTACGACCGCTGTCCCAGAATAATCACGACCGCTGTCACAGAATGATCACAACCGCTGTCACAGAATGATTACGACCGCTGTCACAGAATGATTACGATCGCTGTCACAGAATAATCACGACCGCTGTCTCAAAATGATTATGATCGCTGTCACAGAATAATTACGATCACATTCACAAAAGTACCGCCTCCGTGGTCGAGGGGTTAGAGTCGATGACTTCTAATCTAGTTACCTCTCTGGCGTGGGTTCGATCCCCACAGAATGATTACGACCGCTGTCTCAAAATGATTACGATCGCTGTCACAGAATAATTACGACCGCTGTCTCAAAATGATTACGATCGCTGTCACAGAATGATTACGACCGCTGTCACAGAATGATCACGACCGCTGTCTCAAAATGATTACGATTGCTGTCACAGAATGATTACGATCACATTCACAAAAGTACCGCCTCCGTGGTCGAGGGGTTAGAGTCGATGACTTCTAATCTAGTTACCTCTCTGGCGTGGGTTCGATCCCCGGGAGATGCTTTGGTAGTTTAGCGCGGAGGAAGGTAGTCTAGTACTGGTGCAACTCTCCAGGAACGATGGTTAGGAAACTACCCGCCTATATGACTGAAATACTGTTGGGAAAAGGCGTAAAATGAAACAAACAAACAAACAAAAACAAACATTCACAAAATGATTACGATCACATTCACAAAATGATAACGATCACATTCACAGAATGATAACGATCACATTCACAGAATGATTACGATCGCTGTCGAAAAATGATTACGATTACTGTCACAGAATGATTATGATCGCTGTCACAGAATGATCACGACTGCTGTCACAGATTGATTACGATCGCTGTCACAAAATGATTACGATCGCTGTCACAGAATTATCACGACCGCTGTCACATATTGATTACGATCACTGTCACAAAATGATTACGATCACTGTCACAGAATGATCACGACCGCTGTCACATATTGATCACGATCGCTGCCACAAAATGATCACGATCGCTGTCACAAAATGATAACGATCACTGTCACAGAATGATTACGATCGCTGTCACAGAATTATAACGATCGCTGTCACAAAATGATAACGATCGCTGTCACAAAATGATCACGATCGCTGTCACAAAATGATTACGATCGCTGTCACAGAATTATAACGATCGCTGTCACAAAATGATACGATCGCGTACAGAAAACGCTGTCACAAAAAATGATCACGATCGCGCTGTCACAAAATGATTACGATCACTGTCACAGAATGATTACGATCGCTGTCACAAAATGATCACCATCGCTGTCACAAAATGATTACGATCGCTGTCACAAAATAATTTCGTTCGCTGTCACAGAATGATCACGATCGCTGTCACTTTATAATTACATTCTTTTTGCATAATAATAACAAATGATGTCACAGAGTAATCACGACCGCTGCCGCAGACAGATTACGCTAACTGTCAAAGAATGATGACGATCGTTGTTACGTATTCATTACATTCGCTATGACAGTATAATTACGATCATTTTTGGAGAATAATAACGAATTACGTGACAGAGTAATCATAATCGCTGTCGCAGAATAATAACGCTTGTGTACAGAGTAATTACGACCGCTGGCTCAGAATGTTACGCCCGTTGTCGCTGTCACAGTTAAAATATTTACAATACTTTTCCAAGAATAATAACGATTGATGTCACAGAGTAATTACGACCGCTGGCGCAGAATGATGACGTTCGCTGTCACGTAATAATTACGTTCGCTATCACACCTTAAATAATTACGATCATTGTCGCAGAATAATTACGATTGATGTCACACAGTAATTACGACTGCTAGCTCTGAAAGATAACGATCGTTTTCGCAGAATGTCGCAGAATGATTATGATCAATGTGCAGGGTAATAACGGTCCCTGTCTTGAAAATCACGATCGCCGTCGGTGTATGATGATAATACCTGGCATGTTGCGGTTCCAATCGGAGTATCTATTCCGAGGGCACCTGCCCGCTGGGCGGTAATGAGGCTTGTCAACTCAGAAATTTTTACATTATCAAGGCTCTTTTACAATCAAGCACAGAGAATAGCCGTGCGTTGCTGTCCTATTGACAGCTCTTGTTTGTTGAAATTAATGTCATTTCATCCGTTACTGTTAATATTATTGACCCTCACTATTTTTGTAATGTTAACTTTCCCATAGGCCAATGGGATTTATTCGTTTATTGATCTGTGTAAGAATTTCGAATTTGATGTTTGATGTGGAGTTTCTATAAATAAATAAATAAATAATAGCCTAAGACACTTGCTATTTAGAGAAATAGCGATGTTTCGTCAAAATAAGCTGGAATTTCTCTTACTACATTAGTAACTTGGATAAAAATAGTCATAGTTTACATCATACATTCAAAGTTTATTCTGATTGGTGTATATTTATGTATTATTTAAACTATGAAGTTCGAAATTTTTGAAGGATTACTTTACTAATTTTTTTTTCCATAGAAATATGCAAAATGTTATTACATTCAAATTAACAAATAAGGTTATATAGATCATATACGTTTTGGATTTGTTTGTCATAAAACCAGATCAATTCACCGTACCCATTTCATTATATTTTGGTATTTTCATTGCTATACGTTCTTACCAATCAGCGTTAATGCATGTACTGTTTCCATGTAAATGTCACACAGTATTAAGCTCCATTTACATAGATTATATCAATAAATTACATATTTTCTCTTGCAGCCGACAAAAGCAGACGACGCAGGACTAGAAAACAATGTCTTAACAGTAACAAAAGGATGAACAGCTTGCAGCTGTTAGGGAATTATAAAAAAAAACTGGTGTAAATCATTTTTCTATTGAAAGGCAAAGCTTTGAAGTAACTGTGATCTTCAAACTACATTTTCATTTAGTATAATTATTCTGTTTTTAGCTTAAAGTCCTACTGAATTTATGAAATAGACTTGTCCTTTCTTTAAGTTTAGAACTATCCATTGTGATTTTAAGGGATTTCAATATCAAAGTCCAAGAATTTAGTGGGAAAAAAAGACAAGAAGTACAAAATCTGGTCAGCCTGCGCGATTCTCGGGATGGCACGGCTGCACGTGCCAAATGGCGATATAGCCCTGAATCATTTATAATATTCTGTCATTCAGATCATAAATGAAACATATTCTTAACAGTTTATTGTTACTTTAAGATGAAGCATTGCTTTAAAGTTATTTCCCCTAATTTTATCGGAAATCGTATATATAACATATATACAGTATGCAATATAATAGAGATATTGAACAAAACGCTAAACTGTGACATAAATAAAGGTAAAATGTACTTACTTTGCAATTTTTCTGTTTTGTATCTTTTTCTATACTTTTGAAAAACGGACAGTCGACAAACTAAAATAAATGTTTTTACAATGTCAATGCAGAATGGTAAATCTAAAATATTTTCAAATAATCATAGTTACCTTAAACAGACTATGAGACTGCATTTAACATAAATGTAATTCTTGCACAACCTTATTTTGATTTAAACATTTTGATATTGAAATACAAAAGTCATGTAGTTATTTTATAACAAACATGTTTTCTTACATAAATTTAGCTCTATTTTACACATGATTCGGTCATTAAAAAGGTATTTTGATGGAATGATAGCTTGCAATGATGTAGTTATAGGTAAATAAAGCTTAATTTTTTGTTCATATTTTAAATCCATTCAAACTCTTTTGTTAAGTATTTCATTTACACAAGTAACTCTGGCAAACATCATTCTAAAGTTACATCATTTGTGGAAAATTTGTATAATAGTTGTATAAGAGATTTTGTTTTGCTGTCGATTGTGTTAAAAAGTTATATTTGTTTTATTGTATTTATCATTTTCAATTATCATTTTCCTAAAAAAAATGTATACATTTACGATTACGTCATAGATTAACAAAGTTTTTTTCTTTGTTGTAATCGACATACTTTTCATCACGTGCCTTTCAGTTTTCATCTGATTAAAGTTCCACCACGTTAAAAAAAGAAATTCACCAAAGATTGTTTGAATATGATTTTTAAATTGAATGAAATACGCTAATTATAACTTAACTGTCAAAAGGAAACTTTCCATTTCTTTGTCATTTTGCATACCAGTGCTTTACGAAAATTATTGCATCCATAGTGATCGGCCCTTAAACAATGTCATCTGTAAACCGAAATATGCAGATGCACTTTCTGTCTTGTTTGTATTTTTATATTATATTTATGATAATCAACATTGCGTTATATGGGCCTAAAAAATCTAGTAAACTTGTGGTTTTTCTGTTAGATGAATTTGGGAAAGTTTCGCATTGTTTATTATTTACTTGGCAATGTAAGAATGTCTTTTTTAAAATTATTTGCTCGTTTTACATTTAGATTTGTCCAACATAAATCAATAAGCCAGTTTAAGCTTATCAATTAAAGGATACGTAAAGAATATTTTCTAACAGTGTGCCATTATAGAAAAATACTATATGATTAAACATCCTTTAAAAAAACACCTCTGTCTTATTAAACAAGTGTTCCTTCTAACGAATAAATACAAACAAATTGGTAAAATCTTTCTTACAATACAATACATAGAAAGTGAACAAAATGCCATTTTTAAGTGTTATTGGTAAATTTCCCACTTCTGAAAACAACAACAACAAATAAACAAAACTTGTAATTTGCTTTATAATTGTTCAAATGATGAATTCAAGTGGCCTTTCAAGCGATTTTTTGTATACATGAGGTGGTGTCTTGATCGATACTTGAAGTATATTATGTTGGTGAATGATATAGTATATTAATTTACATTATTCATATAATACTATGTATTGACGAAAAATCTGTACTGATTCATTTTTGCAGTATTATGTCTGCAGATCATAACTGTAATAATATTCTTGTAAACATTTTTCAATTTAATAAAGGTTCTTTATCTTTAAGCACGTGTTTTGTTGTGATTTAGAACAGCTGCATGATCACCAAACTTCCGGTTCGAATTTAGTTCAATTCACTTTCTGGAAATGTTCATAGAATTCCGCTCGTAATGAATTCGTATATATTAACATATCATATTAAAGATTGAAGATAAGTAACTATATGTGAAGTATGAAATTGTATTTTGTTTTTTGTTGTAATATTTAGTAGATGGCGGAGTTTCTACCTGTTTTAGTGGAAAAAAATATGAAATCAGGATTAAAGTCGAGATTATATCATAAGGTTATAGTTTTTAAAATGCGAAGTAGTGAGTATAAATGTACTAAAGTAAAGGGGTCGTCCAGCAAAATCACAAATTAATATCGGGTATGACCACCTGTAGCATGATGGACTGCCTGGCATTGTTGGCGCATAGAACGGATAAGCGTATTGATTTCGGCTTTGACGTTGTAATACGTCTAACACGCTGGTCCAAATTATCCAAAAGGTGTTCAGTGGGATTTATGGCAGGGCCTTTGGCTGGCCAGTCACATTAATAAATACAATGTTATTCGCTCTGAGGAAATTCACAGTGTCCATAGCTGTATGGCTTGTGGCATTATCGTGATATTGGCATTATTTCGAAACAGTGGTATAACATGCCTCACAAGAATTTCATCTCGGTAGCGCTGGGCATACAAATTCCCTTCGATAACGAAGAGATTAGTGTGAAAGCCATGTGCAATGCCTGTCCAGACCAAGAAAGAACCCCCCCCCCCCCGGGCGTCCACTACATTGTAAATCTTCTGTACGCCCTGTTGCTTGAAATCGTTTCCTCGCACGAGTTTATCATCCAATATTCATAGCGACGGCATTCGGCACGTTCGCGGAATTCAAGGCATATCAAAAATAAAGAAAGCTGAAAAACAAATCAACGTCTTTTTCTTATTGACATTAAAGTCTATAAAAACACACTGAAAGGTTTCATAAAATATACACGAATCTACTGGTCCGTGCATGCACGTGAAAATCGCGTTCAGCAGATTTCTCCTGCAAAACGAGTTAAAATCGATATAACATTTATTTAATCGGACACTTAATCGTTCTCCCGAATAGATGTAGCTCATTTGACATTTTGGTTTTTTTAAATAACACCGTATATCCGCTTAAACGCAGGGGAAGTTTCTTTATTGTTCAGTCTATTTGTGCACTACCATATGTTATTAATTTAAAGTAAAGTTTTTTATGGAGATTTAGTAATATATATTAAACAGTGCTCAAACCTGTTTCTGAACATATACGTAACTATGATAAACAGATACGTTACCAGAAGTTAAACAGTCCTCTACATTTTATTGTTCATTCAAGTTTTGCAAGCCAAACAGATATCAATAAATATTTATTCCAGGGTATAAAACTGTAAATCTTTTGCGTTTCATTTGTTTTTTTGTTTGTTTTTTTTTAATTTCTGATTTACATTTTCAGTTTTCCAATAAAACTGAGATCAAAACATTATAAATCGATCATGCTAAAGTTATGCTATCATGTTTTTAATTGAAACTATTTCAAAACTCCGCCAAATCGTCTAGATAAATATTGGTAGCATATCTGTTGGTAATGTATCTGTTAACCAAAAAAAAACCCCAAGATTTATCAGATATCCACATATGCCAAATATATTGAAATATTCAGTTTTGTAAAGCATGTATTTGAATGATGCATAAATGCTATCCTACTCTTAAATTCAGTGTTCCGTGTAGGCTTAAAACAAACCGGTCGTAAATTAAAACGTCCTCTTAACGTTCCTTAACCTTTGACAGAATGGGGTTTTAATGAAATCTAGAAGTACTGGTACACATGATTAAAAGTAACCAATTCAAAACGAATTTGAAATTGTTGATTTCTTAAATGTATCAACAAATATAGCATTATTTATATTGTATTCATATGTTTTAATCGAAACGTTTTTTTCTTCTCCTTTCTTCTATCTATGATGGAAATAAAATTTACTATGGTGACAAATAATGAGCTGAATAATTACATACAAGCTGTCTTCTCAATTTTCTTTTTTCAAAAGAATATTCCGATTACGACTGCATTGGTTATGCTTACATGTTTCAGGTTTTATTCTACTTTTTTTTCATATAATATAAATGTTTTAAGGTTTAATGATATTAAAACTTTGACCAGTTTAGCTCGGAAACTTACTAAATTTTACAATCCTTACAAAAAAAATAATTTAAAATCGATGTCTTGATTCTATACTTCTTACGAAGCAAAAAACAAAACAAAAAAACTCAAACCTTGCAAACAAAACAATAAAAATAATAATTCAAGAAACTGGATTCATAAAATTGTAAGAATTCATGTTTGCCTATTTGTTGTTGATGCAGTTGTTTTTGAATGACCCTAACTTCTGACCAATTATGGTGCTCGATGATAGTGTATAACAATGTTAGTTTTGCGACTGCATTTATTAGTTACAGGTCAGATAAGATCAAGAAAATCATGAGTGGCAGAAGAATCACCGTCATTATTCAGTACAGCATCAGGTGACCGTCTAAAATTCGCCACAGCCTCGCGTCGTTCACCTCTAGGCCTCGCCACAGCCTCGCGTCGTTCACCTCTAGGCCTCGCCACAGCCTCGCGTCGTTCACCTCTAGGCCTCGCCACAGCCTCGCGTCGTTCACCTCTAGGCCTCGCCACAGCCTCGCGTCGTTCACCTCTAGGTCTTGACTTAGGGGTGGTGTGTGGACTAGTCTCAGACTTATTCTCAACCTTTCTTATTTTCCGGGGTCTGTCCCCTGCAGCGTCGATTGCATATACCTTGCCATCTATACCGGGTGTCTGAACTTCACTGGTGCTTATATTTGGATTGTTAAATTGAATTTTGGGGGTAACAGTGCGCCTGGGCGTGTGCGTTGGTGTGCTTGGCAGAAGAAACCCTCCAACAGGCGTCGAAGGGACCTCTTGTTCTTTGAGAGTTTTACTCCCTGAAAAACAAAGTATCTCGTACGATTCTATATGATGAATTGAAAAAGGGTATCATTTTTCATTTTAGAAGTTACTATTCGAGGCAATATTAGTCCCTAGAGTCGCTGAATTTACGAACTCCACCGTCATTGTAGTTGCCATGCTGCAAAATATTCTATAAAATCTCTACATTCGTACTTCAACGTTTCAATTTCAATATGACATAGTGTTGTTCTCTCTTAAGAAATATCTGCCTGCTACAGATTATAAGAAAACCTATGAAGATAATGAAATGACGCAACAAGGCCTGCACAGAAAGGTCAAATGTTATTAAACATACCATGCAGCACTAGGACAGTACATTTTGTGATTAAAGTGTTACCAAACATTAAAACTATTATACAATATGCTTGCTTTGCTGTAGTTTTATAGACCTATTTAATTTGCAGGATTGAATTAATTAAGCGACATGTAGTACATACTCATATGGGTAATGTAGGAAAGAAACCGAACTTTAAAACATTCAAAGAACGCTCGACGACTTAGAATTGTGACACGTAAACTTATGTGTCAAAATAAAACAGAAATACAAACCTGCAGGTGAACTTCTAAACAGACAAGAAATAAGTGATGGGTTGTAGATATATCGTCTGCCTTTTTCTGTCCTTGACCTTGTCAGTGACCTTGCGTTTGGTGTCCATGGTGATGATGGTAAAGCAGGCGGAAGTGGTGTCCCTGGTACACTCCTTGACTGTTCTAAAGTCATTTGATAAGAAAAGAGATAAATTTGTTCATCTATAGATCTTTGTTTCTTTCAACATACAAACACATTCACGTACAAGAACAGTAGGCTTTCTTTAACATTGAAATATATATGATATAACATTAATTATTTCTGCCTGCTGCACGGGAAATGTAAAATTATTATCGTACACACACGTGAAACATAAGTAAAAGAAAACAAACCATAAAGAGCTACTGGTTTGGGAGATAAAGTCGGCCGAAAATCAGTGTTTCGGGGGCATATTTCATTTATTTGTTTACGTATTCTGATGAATCTTGCACCATAATAAACTTCAGCTCTTCGATATTCCGGTATCACCATAAAAGTTATATTTAGAAACATAACGGGTAATTTTGAGAGGCCCTGGAAGAGGTACGTAAAAAGGATATTTTAAACGCATGCGAGTAGATAATTCCGGCTCTTTGTTTTTCTTCTTAAATGAGTAAGTTAAAACGTAAAATAACATGTTTAGACATTTTATTATTTCTTTGCTGTTCATTTATGTCAAATATAAAATATTTGTTACCAAAATTGTTGAGCCTTAAAATGGTATAATCTAACACGATATTTATATGCAACGTACTATGTAACATATAAATCATTTTTCCGTAAAAACACATGCATTATCATTAATAAACGTATAACAAAATATGTAGTTAAATAATTAGTGATTCAAATTTATTTTTGCTTAGCTTAACAGAGTGAAGAAGAAATTAATTTAGTGGTATTCAACCTACACATTAACATAATTATAAAAGGAGCATTTAATATCAGTCTTTCAATCCATTCCACTTAAAGATTACAATTGTGTAATCAGCCTTTTTTTCTGAGTTAGCAAGACAAAAGTGAGTTTGAATTTCATCTACAAAATGTATACGTAAACGTCGTCTGTATTACCGGTAGTCGGTCAATATATAAAAGTACCCCTGTGCGGGCCTCAAAATGAGCATCTGCTGCACATGCGCACAACAATGGGATTCCCGTACTTTTTATAGGCATGTTTTGTAAACAAACAGGTAAAAGTCTGTGTTATTTTTTAAATATCTTACCAAACTTGACAAAATTTACAGATATTGTCGAATTCCAGCGATAGTATGAGATGGTGAGCTTGATTAGATTAAAAATTCCGATAACTCCATTTTCATTACAAAAAGCCGAGTTTATCAACCAGCCGAAGTTATCTCCCCAACCAGTACAGTAGATCTACTTGAAATAACTGAAAATAAGAGAAAATGTTTGCAATAAATGCTTGGCTGTAAGATATTTCATTGTGTATTGCAAGCATAACAAATATTAATATAATAAATGGAGTCCAGAGAATATATATAATAATACATATGTATTTAATTCCATTGTTTTGAAATGTATTTTTATATATAATAACCAAAATCATATCAAAGACGGCATACCTGGACTATTTGCTCTATCATATATGATATCTGGAACGACTGCTTCTGGTGTACACATGTTGTGTCTTAGTACTGCAGTGTACATTGACATCGAAGGAGTAGATGGAACTTCTTGAAACGGTGAATACATTATCTCTCAATACAGACGTATAGTTTTAGTCTAAGAAATAAAGATAAACTAGAAATGTGTCCATAGGACACGGATGCCCCCACACGCCACTGTTCTGTCAATCTTTCTGTCAAATATTTTTTGGACTACATGTGCCACAAGTTAAAAACTAAAAATAAACAAAGGGCCATAATTCTGTTAAATTTGGTCGCAGCAAAGTTTAAGCAAAATCTGCCATCCGGTTTAAGAGGAGTTGCGTTCACAAAATTTCTACATAGTGTATAGTGAAAAAATCAACAAAGGGCCATAATTCTGTTAAATTTGGTCGCAGCAAAAATTCCTTCCTTTACTACCATCTACACATTAAGGTTGTTCATCCCTGTAAGTTTAAGCAAAATCTGCCATCCGGTTTAAGAGGAGTTGCGTTCACAAGATTTCGGGACGTACGGACTGACGGACGGACGGACAGACGGACGGACGGACAAGTGCAACGCTATATGCTCCCACATTGTGGGGGCATAAAAATATCTACAATAACTAAGGTATTTATTTCAAGGGGAAAAACAGTGTATTATCAGACGATATATACGTTCCTGGTATTATATAACCTACATGTACACCCTATATAGATCTCATGTGTGGATAAGGCATTAATTGCTGGGAACAACATATAAAATGACCGTAAGAAGGTAAGCAGGTAAACCTTTTCAGAATGATTCAAACCTTTCCCATAAAGGCTTCTTAAATAAAAGCAGCATGTAAACAGTGGAAACAGTGCCAGAGATTTTTATAACAGATTAAATTAATTATAAGATATAGCTCTGTGACAGTTCTCAGTCATTTTGGCAAACCAGATTTAAATATTTTGTTTCGAAGTTTTTAACACTTGATACCTGAAAACACAGTTAAATTCCTGTAGACTTTTCCATAAAATTTTACACTAAATGATTCTTAACTGTAGTTTAAAATACCCGTAGGACTTTTGTTATTTGAAAATCAAATAGACCTAGCTGTACTGTACTGTATGCCTACGGTATCCTGAAGCTGAAATTTCCTTTTAAAATAATGACTGTATCTAATTTTAATACGACCATTTTTAGCCTAGGAGACAAATAACTCGTATGGCATCAACCAGCATGAGAAAATTAATTTCAAGTTATCATGATCTAAATGCCTACAACAATCAGTAGGTGTAGATAGACTGATCTGGACTGTTTAACAAAAAATAAATGAATAGAATCTAAATAATAAAAACTCGAATATATTCCTTACATCATGACGATACATGATTAGCATTAGTTTTTGACATATATAAGTTTACAGTAACCATTTGCGTAAAAATCCCTGTCTAGATACGTTACGTTATATTTTGAGGACGAAAGGCTCAGCATGCATTGAGTTGTCTTTCTTAGAAAAATAGTCAGACGGAGTCGTTGAATGCAGAAAGTATCAAAATAAACATGTAAGAATGTATTTTTCTTTAAAAATAAATGAAATAGAATTGTTTTCTTAATTAAAATAATACTTTCATACCTTTCAACAATGTGTCAATGATGTTATAAAATGAAAAGTCGTCTGCAAATTCTTCAACGAATTGAGGCGAAATTATGCACTCCCGCCAAAATGTCAGAATCCTCGGCAGATAGTCAATACTCTATTACTCTCTTACTAGTTGTATATTTTTAATAACCAGGGCTAAACAAACTAAAGAATACTTGTTAAAAGTTCACTTTGTCAGTTATTAATCTTTTCAAACACTTTATTTGATGTAAATGGTGAACAATTGGAAGTTTTCAACCCAGGAACAATAAATTTTTCAACACGGGGAGAAAACGATGAAGACGTACTCTCGAGTCAAGGCAAAACAGCAACTCACAGATGATGTCTTCACTGAAAATGCACAGGAAACCTTGAAGGGAAACCTGTCTTTTGGTATATTTTCTGATGGTATAGAAATTTAATTCCTTCTTTTGATTCAGAGTCAACTCGTCCCCTGGTCAACTCGTCCTCTGGTCAACTCGTCACCTTTTTGGTCAACTCGTCCCTTGGACAACTCGTCCCCTAGTCAACTCGTCCCCAACTCGTCCCCTATATTTTATTATTATTTGTTTTTCATATATTTCATAAATTATTATAGACTGTTAAAATAATACATTATAAAATTACTAAACTGGACATATTTTGACGCTTTTTGTATGCGAATATTTGGAGTTTTTATTTGTTGTTAATTAAATATATCATGGCACGTGCCTTTGGTTATTAAAGAAAACACATAGTAATTTGAAAATAGGATTAAAGACACATTTGCCTCTGTGGTTGGATACGTATTTATATATTTAAAGAACGTGTGTCTTTAATTTGAAATTATACAAATCGCTTGAAAATCGTGCCAAAGGTTGTTATAAAATTTTATTTTCCAAATGTCGAATTTTGTTTTTGATGGTGTATGGTTAAATATATGAAAATGTTGAATTCATTACAATTAATACATTCAATATGTTGACTTGTATTATACAAGAAATTCTGGAACTCGGTTTTATACAGCTCCTCTTTGAGATCAGTTTAAAGATTTATTTATGGAAATTTAATATTAATCTTTACTAATTATTAGATGACAATTGAATATTTAGTAATTACTTTATGTTTTCAATTAGTTAATATCCAAGGCAAATATTATTGTACGGATTTTTTATTTAAAAAAATTATGAAAAAATAAATAAATACTAACTCTTTCAAAAGGCATGTATGTTTATACAACTCCTATGATAATGGACCATAATATTACAATGAAATGCAATTTTAAAAAATCAGAAACAATTGACAATTTCACAACAAACAATTATCATGTTTTTAATTGACACGATCCTTCTATAATGAGATCAATACGCACCGACAGAAAGTTTTTAGCACTCCTAATTTCTGTTAATCTGTCGTCAGTCTTTAATCCATTCAGGGAGGAGGTAAAAATCAAAGAGTTGGACCTAATTTTAGTTTTAATTATCATTAAAACTCCGATTAATTAAACATTAATTGAATGTTTGCAAACTTAACTGTCTTTGTAGTTTTACATCAAAGCTATGCACGTGCGCTTAGATAAAGATCATTAAAATTTAACGTAAAAAAGACGTTATTTTATTAATATTTCGATATCAATCAAATTCATTATTAATTTTACATAAAAAGTACTATTTAAAGACATTGATTTACAACATAATAGTGACGAATAGATCGAACGTAGGGGACGAGTTGACCATATTAGGGACGAGTTGACTCTTTGAGGACGAGTTGACCAAAAGTAGGGGACGAGTTGACCAAAAAGGTGACGAGTTGACAAGAGGACGAGTTGACTAGGGGACGAGTTGACCGGATTGCCTTCTTTTAATATGGGAGACAAATCTGTCATGTAAAAATGTGAACATTACACAAGAGTTATTGCTGGTGGTTGTTGTAGTTTGGGGACCACTAAAACCGGACAGACATAAAACCCAGACGGCCCTGAAAATGCCTGATTTACAAATGTAGTTTAGATCTTTATTCGGTGGTTGTCAATCAATCAGTCGCTTTGTTTATATCGACAATAAATGCATGCTTCTTCTATAATTATGTAGATCTAATAAAATTTATTTCAAGAATTGAAAACGGTAAAATTATAATTCAGAGTAAGCAATAGAATATCAAAAACTTCAGCATTTGCTGCTAAAAAATTGTATATATTGTTAGAAATAGAAAAAATAAAAAACCTAAGCTTTGTCTTGATTAAATCAATGTTATCTACATATCTCAGTCCTGACACAATTTACATATGGTACTGTGGCGTGGACAATTTGGGTAATTTTGATACCCTCCATGACGGCCTCAGAGATAAATGTCAACATAATTAGAAATAAATAAACTAATTTGTTAGTAAAGAGTAGATCTAGCTGTGCTCTGTCAAATTTTTAGATCTCTAGCTTTGAAATTATGAGATCTGTAGGGAAAATTTTCTTAAAAGTTTGGATGATGGCCTCAGGCCTGACCAGAGTATCCTTTCAATCGTGGCTATAAGCCACTTTGAATTCACCAGAGCATGGTTCAGCCACGGCATCATTCCTTGAAAGGCTTTCAAGTAGTTTACCAATTCTAGATACCTTCACTTTCGCAAAGTAACTGATATTACTTCCAAAGACCTTATAGAAAGGATTTCATTATCAATTAAAATGAAAGGGACATGCACCATTCTGGAATCGAACCAGTCACCATATTCAGAATCCAAGGCTCAGTCAAATGAGCTAAATGTAGACTAGTGTGCCATATATGAGTTATTGTTCCTGGCACATATATATACATGCATACAGTCCTTTAAGATAATTCTTTATATGCAATTCTAGAAATAAAAATCTAAACCTTATTTATAATATTGATTGTTGTATCTTTTTAACACCAAAACACTTAAGTTCAAAATAAAAAAGATATTTTAGTAAATTGATGTTCATTTCTTGAAGAATTTATAGAACAAGCTTGGTGACCTTTATATGTAATACAGCACAGGTCAACTCTACACAAATATATATTAGAACTACCAGGGTTTGAATTTTGCATTTTTATGCCTGATCAATAGATTGTGCTAGGAATGTCTAAAAGCTAAAGCAAGCATTCATTTTATACTTCCAAAATAACATTGCTTTATAATTTTAGATGAACAACAAAGATCTGTTGATGGAAGAAGAAAAAGGTAAGACATATATGACACATAAAATGTTAATTATAACTTGAATCTAAATTTTTTACTTTTACTTGGTATATTTTCCTCAAGTTTGATTTTCTTGAAATATTTAACTCTGACATCTGGAGGCATGCTGCTTTAAGCATGTGCAAGATGAAGATAAACATTGAATATATTGGTTCATGTTTAATGTTGACAATCAGGTTTGTTTTTATTACATATACCCAGTGTAAGAAATTAAGATTTGAATCCACTAGGCTGGTCGGACTACCAGATTGGAATATTCACTAGCCCAAAAGACATTTCACTAGCACGATTCATTTGTTCAAAACAGTTGTTTATATTGCCTCTGAAAATACAGTAGCCTGGTCGGGCTTGTTACTGTGAAAAATTGGTAGCCTGAGGAGAAATTTAGTAGTCGGTGGCTATAGGACTACTGCTAATTTAGAACACTGATATACCTAATTTCAGTGTAAAAAAATAAAAAGAACTCGGTGTCTATCCTAGGATTCGAAAAATGGGAGATTTTTTTCTAAAAGTGAGAGTTTATAACATTCATTGATCTTTTTCTTTCATTCTCTATGTAAAATTTTTCCCCTGCCTCTGAGAATATAGGGGGGAATTCTCAAAAATATGAGTGAATCCCCCCATCCCCCTTTCTAGAATAGACACTGAGAACTACAATAATAATCTGAAATACAATTAACCATAGTAAGCTAAATAGTTTCTTCTCCACTCACATTAGATTCTTGTTTCAATTCTTAGAGGAAGAAATAAGAGTGCTGTCACAGGCTCTGGAAAACTAAAGAAGCCTAAACAGGGAACACTGACGAAGAAATCCATCTCGGAGGTGATGTATTGCTTACTTTTATAGATGTGTCACTTATTAAGGTTCTTAAATATTATTGTTTTTGCATAAAGCTTCTTCATGGGTAATGCATTTGTCTGTACATTCTGATATCTGTTTATATACCGGTAATGTAAACACATATTTAAAACTGAGAAAGAATTCTACATTCAAGGTGAAGACAAAGCACTAGCTTACCAGGTAGTGAAGTAGATTTAATCAAATGTAGAAGATGCTGGAATTGTTTTGATGAGTAAAAAGATAACCAGGGAAACTTTTTGGGTAAATTCCTAAAACTCCCAAACCAATATTAAATGGACAATTAACACTTCATACCTTGTCCTGAAATTTCACATGTCTTATGTATTCTTTAGTGTAAATTGAAAGAAGAAAACAAATCCTAGATAAAAGAAAAAGAATTTCATGCTCCTTTTAAAAATTGATGCACAGAATTGTTGTAAAATGGTTAAAGAACTCTTCTATACAATTATTTGTGTATTTTCTCCATAAGGCATTGTAATTTTACATGCAAACATTTAAGTAGAAAGGAAAATTTATATTACATTATCCTTAAATGTTACAGGTACAGAAAAGTAAACCAGTCACCAGTCTGTCTCCTCCCACAGAGATAAATGATAGTGATGTATTGTTTGGAGAAGGTCTGCCACCTGTTAAAAAGAAAAGGCAATCAAGAGCAAAGAAACAAGAGGCTTGCACACCAAAACAGAAAGGTTTTCAGAAAAAGTCTATTTCTATTGTAATTGATGATATTAAGAGTAATGTAAAAATGGCAAGTTAAATTACTGAATGATAACTTGATACTGCCAATTAATTGGGAGGGTTTTTAATGCTCCCACTCCATAGAGGGTGGAGTGGGGCATTTTGATTTGCCCTTGTCCATCCATCAGTGTGTGCGTCTGTTCCAAAATGATGTCACATGTAGCTCTAAAAGTGCCTAAGCTCAAGTCATCAAACTTTACACGAATGTTGATGCACCTAAGGTTTCATGGATTTATTCATTACTTGTAGAGTTATGGCCCTTGACTTAGTTAAAATTTTACAATTATTAACTTGTGTCGTGTGTAGCCCCAAAAGTGTTTTACCTAGAGTCATAAAATTTACAGAAATTTTGGTCAACATGTGTAGTTATGCACCTAGAGGTTAGCTTGTTGCTTTATGCAGTATTTGTAGAGTTACTGCCCTTGACTTAGTTTTAAAAAAATGCAATTTTTATCTTGTGTTGCGCATAACACAAAAAGTATTTGATCTAAAGTCCTGAAACTTTTCAGGAATGTTGATCAGCATGTGTAATTGTACTCCTGTGGTTTTGCTTGTATTTAGTTTCTTCTTGCAGCTCAATATTGGGAAACATCAAAATGTCAGCATTGCAAAGATTGAATTTAATTTTTATGCCCTAATTAGTAAGGGTAGTGGTTGTCATGTAGAGTTTCTTTTGTCTGTGTGCCTGCTGTACATCAGTTGACTAGACAAAACAATGGAATGTGGGGACAACTATGTCCTATGGGCACATTTTGATTATTTTTTTCCTCAGAAATGTGTAATTGTAATGGTAGATGATAGGAATGAAAATAAGTCTAGAGTTATTTTTAAGATGTTTTTATTCATGTTATTACCTTATGTTAGAAAATATTCGGCTTTCCAATTTGTCGATCTTGCAGGTTAAACATTTACACTATATTCCATTTGAAGACGAGAATTATAATCTCAAAAATTTATTAATGTATTATGTTCAGGCCATCTTAAAAAAACATGTATATTAGTGTGTTCACTTTGCTAGCAGTAAAGTCCTGATTGGGATGCACTTCTACCTGCGCCTTCTTTCCTTTGGGAAAGAAACTGCTACAAATTTAACAATTTTCAGCCTCATGTATAATAAAAACTTGTTTGAATAGTTTTTAATAAGCTTTGGTCTCATTATGAATTATCAAGCGTCTTGAGATAAATGAGTGATGCTTTGAAATCTATGATCCAATTTGGCCAATAACGATTTAAGTTGCCAAGTCTGATCAGTATATAGTATTTGAATAAAACCATTGCCTAATCGTGTAAGTGTAATTTCCTTTATTTTTTAACCTGATGGGTGAACGCGAATTTATGATTTTCGGCAGTCACCTCCGCGAATTGAAAATAGCGCGAATATTTGTTTATACCCCCAAAATGGACCTTTCCGCGAAAATTTGCTTCCGCGAATTTAAATACACATACAGTAATTACTCTACATATGTTTTAGATAAGACTTTATTCTGATATTTCCATATAGTCTGTCTAATTTGTACAAATTTAAATACATTTTACACTTATATATCCTTAATTTGATAATGACATGAGGAATTATAGAATCCAAAAAAGAATATTACATGTATTATGTTGACATGTGACTTCATTCTTAAACACAAATACCTTATTGTAAGACAATATTAATATTCCAAAACTATTTAGCTATCAGTACAAGTTCACTTGACTTTGTAATAATGACAATTTCTACACCTGCTTCCTATTCTTTCCTTTAGGAAGACAGAAAAGAAATTCGGCCTCACAAATCATTACCGACAAGTCACAACCTTCACAGCCTAAAAAGAACATGTCAAAAAGTGGAAATAAAAACTTGTCTGATGAAGCTGAGTTGTTACATAACCAGCTTTCAAGTGATTCTATCATTGAGGCTGAATTACCGTCAGGTACACAAGTGAAACCTGAAGATAAAGTGAGTGATTGGCTAGCCAAGTCTGATGAATGCTCCCACACTTCCCAAGAGGACACAAGTAAGGAGGTGTTCAGAGGTGCACAAAGTCTTACAGGTATATAGTATTTAGTAAATCTTTACTTCATCTTAGATTTATATGCATTTTCACATTCTTTGATTAAAGTACATGTATATGAGTTATCAGCATGTCTGTGCTAACAGTTTGACTAGATCTTTATCTGCTGAATTTGTGAAAGGGACTTGCCAAGCTTGAATTTAAAACCATAAATTGATTGCTTAAGGATTTCAATATCAAAGTACAAAATTTGAGCTACCAACAATATAGAGCCGAGTCAGACTGTACAGATTTACAGTCTGGCTTGGAACTATACTGGATGTAAAAACTGATCACTTTTGGTTCTAGTACATAAAGGGTAAATACAGTTTTTAGAAAGTGTTTGGATCATACTGTCATTGCAAGAGTCGTTTGCGGATTGTTCAGCCTTTATGGTAGAAAACTTTTCCAGATTCTTTGCTAGTTTTTTTGCATGAATTCTGGCATAGACTGGAAGCACCTGAATGTAACCATCAATTAGCCTATAAGCTTCATATATTTTCAATTATTTTCATATTATGGAATTAAGTTTTAACTAAGCAAGATTGTAACTTACAATTGATGAATGCCAAGCTAAATGTTACTCTCAATAAAAAGTAAATATTTGTTCATGATATTTCTCTATTTTGGCTAAAAATATTTTTTCAGTGCCAGCATAATATGAAAGATAGATATTCATCTTGAGTCAAAGTAATGGATACGTTACATGCCTACATCTGATTTAAATCTAATCTTAATTATTACTTATCCATTCAGGGTTGATTCAGGGTAGGGACCATTGTCAGGGTATCGTGTCAGTATAATAAGAGTAATTACCCTTAGTTTGCTGTATTGTTTGATAATCTAACTAGTTTACAATAATTTTCTTGTCTGTCAGTACCTAAATAAATCTGGCCATTTATTTTGGGTTTTAAAATATTATAATGTTGCATATTGAGTCATATATGAGCCCTGTCATGACAAAACCAACATAGTGCTTTTGCGACCAGCATGGATCCAGACCAGCCTGCGCATCCCTGCAGTCTGATAGGATCCATGCTGTTCGCTATCAGTTTCTCTACTTGTAATAGAGTTGGTAAGCAAACAGCATGAATCCTGATCAGACTGCACAGGCTGGTCTGGATCCATGCTGGTTGCAAACCCATTATGTTGGTTTTGTCATGACGCGGCTCATATGATGCTTTAGATCAGGACTGTTCAGTGTTGGCATAGTAACTAGTAAATAAGTAGTTGGTTTATAATCCTGAGAATAAATACAAATATGAGGTATTGTGCTTAAAACCTTAGTTACATGATCAAATTGAGGAAATGAGTTTTTGTCATCTTAAGATAATATGACATGCAGACAGAAAGTTGCAGTACTAGCAATGTAGTTATGCAAATTCTGCTAAATTGATGATTGCAATAAAAAGCTGTCAGTCTGATCATTCATTTTCAAAACTCAGTAAAGCTAACAGTGGTATAAATAATAGCAGAGAAATTTCTCTAACTTCAGGGGATGAAATGAGATGTAGACTTTTTCCACAGGAATTTTTTGATAATTTGAACTGTGTCTTAGAAAGACGGCCATCAGCCCAAGCCGGACAGAATGTGAAAGGTATGTTAACAGAATAATAATGAGTGTAATATATTATTTCAAGTTGGAAAAAGGTGGTAACTTTTGCATGTATGTGTAAACCATTTTGAAATGTAAAACTTTTGAACTAGATTTAATTCAAAAGAACTTTTCAGTTAAGCTGTGTGTATTTCACTTGGTTTAGCTTGTATATTAAAATTCATAATTGGTCTTTTGTCATTGCTATTACTTTAGATTTAAGAACTAAGGAAATTTTAATTTAAACTGTGCCTCTTCAGAATGCAATCAGTTAACTTAAAATATTCATATATTTCAGCCAGACAAGAGGAATTCTTATCTAAGTTGGCTCTTAAAACTGGGAATAAACAACAGAGTTATTTACCAAAAGCTGTGCCAACAGAAAAACTGTACAGTGTTAGTGATATAGATGATGAGGACCTTAAGTTAATGTGCAAAAGCACACAGTCTGGATTACAGACTGACACTGGTACCTCTATGACAACTAGCATGGGTACCAGCAAATCTAATGGTCAGACTGGGACTGGTACTCTGATGACAACTAACACAGGTTCCAGTAAGTTCACAGACACCAGGACTGGTACTCATTTAAAGACTGTTACATCCAGTTTTCCCTCTGAGACTGGTACCAGCAGATTAACAGAAACTCGGTCAGATGGTCCAACTGGTGATAGTTCCCAATTTGTTTCAGGTTAGTTTTCTCTAGCAGGTATATACTAGAAATTTTGTCATCAGGAACAATTTAATGAGGGTTTAATGACTGATTAGTCAGCCTCTTCGGCTAAACTTAAAACATGTTTGTTTAAATATTATGAAAGAAAAACTATAAGCATCAAGACTTTTTGACGCGTTATTCACTTCAGTTCTGGAACATACAGTTGAACTTTGTTTGCTTCTACTTGGAGGGCGTGTGCAAATTTATTTGAGAAATCTGACTTCAAAACACCCAAGATTGAAATATTATGATATACATGTATATGTAAAAAAAATCATACTTTACAGAAGTTTGGGGGCAGTTAACCCATTACTTCATATACACGCCTTTTAACGCCTTTTTCACCCCCCCCCCCCTTTTTGTTGTCTCAAATGATGAAAAAATGCCTTATTTAGGCCCCAAACACTTGTTTTTGTTTGAGAAATGTTGTTAAAAAAAGTGACCTCTTTTTCGGCGCGGACCCCCAACCAAAAGATACATCAGGGGGTTGCCAGAAGGGGGATGTGCCCCCTTCTGTTTGGGGGGTTTGAAGGGGGGCGGAGTCCCCCTCATCGCCAAGAAAATTTTCGACTTGTGAGAGGCTATAAATGACCCCAGATTGATCATAAGGTAATGTGTAACCAACGCTGAAAAGCATTTGACTCTATCTCAATCCATGGAGAAGTTGCAGCACTTTGAAATCAATTTTGATGGAAAAAATCAAAGCAAAATAGTGATTTTTGGCAATTTTGAGATGTCCCCTCGTTGCCATGGTAACAGAAAATTTAAGCCTGAGCATGTTGTTGCAAGGGCAATGGTCCAGTCAACATTTGTGCCAAGTTTGATTAGTGTTGAAGCAGTTTTTATAGTATTATAGCAATTTGAACTTGTAACGGGAGACTTTTCAATGAAAACAGCCATTTTTCACAAAATGCTCATGAAGCAATGGGTTAATAGGAGGAAATGTACAAAAGCTCTCCCGTCCAAAAATGACCAGGCGGACAAAAGTTCTCCTGTGAAAATGACAGCTTTTGTCTGCCCTGTTATTTTCACAGGAGGGCTTTTGTCATCCTTGTCATTTTTGGACAAGAGGGCTTTTATGTCCTACAGTCTGCGATAGGTTATCCTGGCTTTATTCTTGAATATGTTGATACAGAGATTTAAGGAAAAAAAATAAATAAAAAATGACACTAATTGTTTCATATTTTATTATATTTAATACAATTTCATACAAATTATTGCAAATCAGGCAAAGTTTCACTGTTTTCCATAAAAAAACTATTTCACTGGTTATTTCACTGTATACTTTAGGAGCTTCCAGTGCAGACAAAATCAATTTGTCCAGCAAGAAGAAACATTACAAAGTTGACTCTAATGAAGTCAGTGACAGCTTAAAACTGAAAGGTACCATGATTATACTTTTTGAATAAATTTCAGCAGGTACTGTTTACTGGTATTAAGCAGAAATAAATCATTCATGTTTAGTACCAGAAAATGATGTTATCTTAGAAGATGGAAATGTATATATTAAGAGCTAAATATTGTTTCCTGGTTTAAAAAGACGGAAAGGCCCTTATTACACATCAAAAGTGCATGTACTCTAATTATGTTTGATTTAGTTTTGCAGGTTCTAGATGCTTTTGTTATTTGAGGATGTTTTTAGTCTAGTTTCATACCTATGTTCATTATCGATTAGTTAAAGTCTTGTCAGCATAATTATTCTATAAAATATGGTTGGTTTCAATGGTTTCAAAATAAAAAAAAAAACTACAAAAGTTTGTGATCAGATATATTTAGATGTACTGTATTTAGTGTATTATATTTATTTATACCATGGTGTCCTTGGTTTATTTCCATTTATGTCATGTCTATTTCCTTCTAATTTCTGATCACTAATTTTGATATAGTACAATTACTTTAAAGGCATTATACAATGTACTAATTGTTTTTAGCTCGCCTTAGGAAGTATATGGAGTGCTGTCCTACTCGCCCTGACGTCCCCGTCGAGATTTCAGATTAAAGTTTTGGTGCAGTAAAATATTTTTCACTATTACTTTTTCATTTCTTAAGGAATCAACTTCAAACTTCAATATCTGTTTTTTATCACCAACCACATCTTCTGTGACAAGGTTCATAACTCTAGCACCAATATTTTTTAGATTTATCTCCCCTTGACCCTCACCGCTGTGGGTTCGAATTCCGAAAGGGACTTTGGATTCTTTCACGTGAGGAAGCTATCCAGCTAGCTTACAGAATGTCGGTGGTTCTACTCAGGTGCCTGTTTGTGCCTGAATTATGCACAGAAAGGCACCTGAGGTCTTCATCCACCAGTAAAGCTGGAACGTCACGATATGACCTATAATGTGTTGATGTGATGTAAATTCCAAAAATAAAACCAAAAAATCTCCCCTTGAACTTATAATTTTCCTTAAAAAAAAATACTATTTTGTACTGTTACTTCTATTTCTTAAGAAATCAAATTCAAATATATGTACCTTAACACCAACCACAACTTATATGACAAGGTTCGTAACTCTAGCACCAATATTGTCAGATTTATCTCCCCTTGAACTTAGAATTTTCCTTGAAAAATACTGTTTTTTACTGTAACTTATTTACTTCATAAGGGATCAACTTCATACTTCAAATATATGTACCTTATCATTAACCAAATATTATGTGACAAGGTTCATAACTCTGGCACCAATATTGCAAAAATTATCTCCCCGGAAACTTAGATTTTTTTTTACTTGAAAAATGTTATTTTTTAATATAACTTTTCTAGTTATAAAGGTATCTACCTCAAACTTCAAATACTTATTCCTTATCATCAATTACATCTTATGTGACAAGGTTCATAACTCTTGAAGCAATATTTACAGATTTATTTCTCTTTGAACTTAGGATTTTCTTTAAGAAATATTATAACTTCTTTACTTTTTAAGGTATCTACTTCAAACTTCAAATATATATTTCTTATCATTACACACATGTTGTGTGACAAGGTTCATAACTGTAGCATGACTATTTCCAGAATTATTCCCTTTGAACTAGGAATTTATGTTAACAAATGTTATTTTCTTTACTATAACTTAATACATAATTATACATAATTGATTTGTCTTTCATAGTTTTGTCTTCCTTACTGCATCCAGTATTTTATTAGTCGAGCTTCCCTGTCTCCTGTGACAGCTCTTGTTTGTCTTATTTTTATATTTAGAATCGTAGCTATATTATAGATCAAAGAGTTCAGAAGTACCTATGTTCTACAATGAGAAGAAGTACATCCTTGAATAATGCAGATTTTCCTTCAGAGTTATCAGCAGTCACAGGTACATTTTTCAAAAATTTGTATTTAAGTTTTCATATAAAGTTTCATGAATTATGAAATATGAAGAAATTATAGGAAAAATCAAGTTTCACAATCTTTACATGATAAATGTAAAATATTAGGTCTTACTCCACTAAATTTATAAAATTTACATGTCTTTCTTTGAAATCAGAATTGCTCCTTTAGGTATTTTGACATTAATATGTCAAAATTACAACAGCCAACAGTTCATAAAAATATATTGAAAACATGAGTTTAATATTAATTGGGTTTTGCTTCTTTTATTCAAAAATCAAGTATATTTGTGGATTGTGACTGCGGGGTTGCCTTTACTGGTTGAAGCATAATAATTGCAGCCACCATTTATCCCTGCATGATCATAAGAGGCGACTAAATGGGTTTGTAACAGGAGAAGTTAACCAAAATCATCTTTCCTGTTTCTGTGCAATATGACCTATACATTTTGTGAACTGTGTTTGTGCACCATAAAACCAAACAAACAAAAGCTCTTGGAAAGCATAAACATGATGCACTGTCGAGACTTTAATGTTGATTGCTTTATTTTCATGCTATGAAAGGCAAAGAACAGAGTCACAGCTTTATCTGTCCATCCTCATTTTCTTGTTGAAACTACAAGAAATTTTGTAGGTAGATAGATCTCATTAAGTAAAAGTGCGATGAATAAGAACCATAACTCTGCCTTTCCTAATATTGGAGTAATTGCCATTTTTCATTTTTATACTTTGAACTTTGTCCGGAACATAGCTTTAATTATGTAGAAATGCAATGCATAAGAACTGTAACTCTGCCTTGCCTAAGTTGGAGTTATTGTCCTTTTTTTCTTCTTCTTTTTTTACACTTTGAAATTTGTCTGGTAGATAACTCTGAAATTACAAGAGAAATCAACAAAAAATTACTTCTCTGTGTTCAAAACCTAATCGGGGAGCATCAAACTGGTTAGACCTGCTCTTGTATATTTGGATGCCCCTCAAAGTATTGGTGAATTTATTGGTGAATTATCCCTAATCTAAGTCCATACAAAATTAGTAGGGTTTATGTTAACATCCTTAAGTGTAAAGCTATTGCATTTACCATGGTATTTGTAAGCAGATAATAATTATGTTAATTGAACAAGATATTTTTAAACTTTTAAAGGAGCTCTACTGAGGACCAAAAGCCTGCGTACAACTTACATATAAATTGAGGCACTAAAAACAGAAAAGTATGAAAGGATAATAGAGTATTATATACCCAGAACATGACTAATATTTTGTGTAGTTTTGAGCCTTTTTCTAGAGTTAAAAGGGTTTAAAATGCTTATCATTTTTAGGTCATTTTGCACAATAAAAATTATTTTTCTGTGGAGATGGAGTGAGCAATGATCTGAAATTTGCACACAAATCATCAGTATAGACCTATATAAAATGTTACAAAAATCTTGGGAAAATATTTTCAATCCCACCATGTCAAAAAAATCAACAGTGGAGTCCCTTTAAGAAGCAGACTTTTAGCATAAGTTATTTAGTCTTTGCTAATATTTTATCATAGATTCCTTACGAAACCAACAACGTGAAGAGAAGACTCCAAGAAAAACTGAAGAGGATTTTAAAGTTCCTGGGTAATTATTCTGAAATTTTAAAGTTGTGAAATGTTAAAAATAACACAAAAATGTTAAAATAAATGAAATTTACAATGTCGTTAGTAAACTACTTTAAAACTCTAAAATCCCGTGTTTGGTATGTATCAGGGACATTGGTTCAAGCCATGCTTGATTTATGACCATGATTCCTCATATACACTACCTCTTGTAAGTTCCGGGAATCAGGCTCAAGAGTGGTTTAGATAACCATTTAGCTTTTCCTACAAACGGTCTTAAATAGTAAATGTTTAAACTTATATTTGATCATATGGTGAAACCCTGAAAAAGGAAAGTACTTTAATTTGTTTTCTATTTTTCTTGTACAGATCTCCTACCAAAAGTACAGCCTTTAAAGGAATAAGGAGAGGCACTCTTCAGCCAAAGAACTCAACAAAATTGTTTACCACAGGCTTTGTAGAAATATTTGATGCAATTCCTCAAATGTCAACAATTGTATGTGATAATAGTAAGTTAACCCTTTACACTTAATATCTTAAATGGACTTGTTCATCTTTCTTAGGTAAAATTGAGAAGAAAAGTTCTATCTAACTGAATTTTATTATTTGAGGAAATCCAGTGATTGTGAGTTCAAGGCAATTTGGAGATTATGATCATATTGAGTCTGTTTCCCTATTTGACACTAGTACTAGTCATTCCAAGCTGCCAGCTTTCTTTAAGATCAAGTTAAGATAAAAAATGTTGTTATCTGATTACATTTATAGAAGAGCTCATTGAATTGTTAACTTGATGAAAATTAAAAGGCCTTTAGGGACCTACTTTTAAAGGCACATTTTTCTGCAATCCATGCCAGTTAATAAAGTACAATTATGATAAATATTGCTTACTGCATTTTGTATTGGGTAAAATTTATGTACATTGCAACTACCAGTACATCAAACTATTATACTAATATTTTCATTGTTAATATGGATGCATTTGCAGTGTCCCTTTAACAAAAAGCTTGAAAGTCACCAAATGACCTAAACAGTGTCAGAGTTGTTGGAATGATCACGAATAATCAATATGGAATTAAATGCTAGGGTTCTATAAAAAATTTTAACTTAGTTAAAGTGTCATAAGCAATTTTTATCACATAAACCGCGGCGCAGGATTGTTATAAAGCCATTTAATAAAAACGATATTACACTAGTGTAATAATACTTTGAGGTGACGTCATTTGCGCTATAAAGAAACATAGCGTTAAAGCGCGCTAACGTTAGCGTTACACTATGGGCGCATCATTGAAAAATTAATCATTTCAACAGTTTACTGTTCTTATTTTATATATATGTGATAAATAGAATATTATATTTGTGTAGATTCAATACTAAATTTATTGAACTGGTTAAATAATACAATATTATACTCGCAAGGGGCTCGCATAATATGATTTTTATTCAACTCGTTCAATACATTTAGTATGAAACTACACTCATTCAATATCCTCTATTTACGAAATTTATAAACAGTAATAGTTATGTTGCTTCCATAATTTATTGTTTATTCAAGAAAGGGTTGTAAAATAGGTTCTTTCAGTTAATTAACACACATGAATATTTTATGTAAACAAAATGTAATGTTGTGGAACAAAATATTTTGCTTCTATATTAAGTATGGTAGCAAGAAATTTGTGCCTGTATCATTCACACTTTAAGTTGATTGGTCCATATTGGAAGGTCTGTAATACCATAAATAGTTATGTTGCTAGTGTGACAACAAACCATGAAAGAATTATTATTTTGGATGTTTTTCATAAGTGTGAGATACATGAGCCTATATTACATATCAATAAATTGCTTAAAACAAAAATCTATCATTCATCATACAAGTGTTCATACTAAATCTTTTAGAGCTCTTTTTACATTTTTAGCTCACCTATCACAAAGTGACATGGTGAGCTTTTGTGATCGCTTTTCGTCCGGAGTCTGTCCGTCAGTAAACTTTTACTTTAAACGACATCTCCTCATAAACCGCTAAGCCAATTTCATCCAAACTTCACAGGAATGTTCCTTTGGTAGTCAACTTTAAAAATTGTTCAAAGAATTTGATTCCAAGCAGAACTCTGGTTGTCAAGGCAACCGAAAGGAAAAACTTAAAATATCTTCTTTTATAAAACAGAAAGAGCTAGAGCTAAAATAAATTGGCATGAAACATCATCTAGTCAGTGTCTACCAAGTTTGTTCAAATAAATGCCCTGGGGTCAAAATTTCTCCGCCCCGGGGGTCATTGATTTCCCTTATTTGTATATAGTAAAAACTTAAAAATCTTCTTTTAAAAAACCGAAATAGCTAGAACTTAGATATTAAGCATGAAACATCTTCTAGTGGGTGACTACCAAGTTTGTTCAAATAAAAGGCCCGAAGGTAAAAAAAGGCCCAGCCCCAGAGGGTAATTGATTTTCCTTATTTGTATAATTACAGTAAACTCCGCTAATAACGATATTCAGGGGACATACAAAACTATATCGATATATCCGAATATCGTTACAACCGAATTTCTGTACGGTGTGTAGCTTACTGACGATGCACTGCATCGTTCAACATGTATAAGCAGTAGCATTATATACTAGACATGTGACAATCATGTACTTACGACAAAACTTTATTCTTTTTATGCATATCAATGTTGAATGCATAAAAAATCAGTTGCACATCAAAATAAACACAAAACTGACATAAACCGAAAGTAATATGTACACAGGTACTGGTAACCTTACATTGGCTTAAATTTATACACTGGAAAAAAAAACGTCAAAATTAAATTGCTTTTTTAACTAATTACACTCATGGGTAAATCTTGTTTAAGTTTTGTTCATGTACAAAGACATTCACTGTCGGAAAAAATCAGTTAATTTTGTCTGCTTTTTGGCTTTCCCTATTTCAGCTGAAAATTTCTCAAGTTCATGTAAACATCCGAAAACAGAATCACACGAATCAGACTTAGAAAGAACAAAGCGTCTGCAAGTGTCTATAGCATTAAGAAACTCATTCATGGTGGGTGGGAGGTCATCAACAGTCTCAGAGTCACTCTCTTCGTCACTCTGCGACAGGGTTTCAGCGGGTTTCAATTTTTGCTGTACCTCCGCTATTATATCGCTATCGGACTTCTGCTCAACGGAGACAACATTCTCATCGGCATTTATGTAATCATCAAAAGAAATGTTTTTGTCTATGTCACTGAATACTCTAAGGCGATTCCATTTCGATGCCAATTCAGCCAGCAGAATGTCATCGTCCTCGAACTCGTCTGTGTCAGACGAATCGGAAACATGCCCCTGTGGGGTCGCATTAATTTCATGCTGTGCTTGATTCATAAATCCAGCCTTTCTAAAACAATTCTGGATACACGTCGGTGTTACATCTTTCCATGCCGCATAAAACCATTGTATGGCTTTTAGAATGTTAATCTGTTTATCGATATGTTTGTCTAGACATGAAATAATATGGTCAAGGACACGTAACCTGTAATGCCTTTTGAATGAAAAGATAATCCCTTGATCACAGGGCTGTATCTTAGATGTAGTGTTAGGTGGGAAAAACAACAGTTTTACAGCTTTTAATCCCTCGATTTTCGGATGGGCCGGGCAATTATCAACAAACAATAGAATAGATCTTTACTCACGTGTCATACGTTTGTCAAGTTTTTTCACCCAACTGATAAATATTTCTGAGTTCATCCAAGCACAACGATTAGCTTCGTAATCTACCGGCAAACTTTTAACATTTTTAAAACATCTAGGATTTTTGAATTTTCCGATTATCAAAAGTTTAAGTTTATCAGAACCGTCCATATTTGCGCCGATAAGCACTGTGATTCTGTCCTTGCTTTGTTTGCCTCCAAAACATTTTGTTCCTTTTACCTCTAGTGTTTTATTTGGGGTCATTTTATAAAAAACGCCAGTTTCATCGATATTGTAGACATTTTTTGGTTCATAGTCCTTGATCAAACTTGGAAGTTTTGACTGCATCCAATTTTCAGTTTGTGAATTATTGACGGAAGCACCTTCACCGGATAATGTTTTGCTCGATATGCCATGACGATTTTTATTTAGTTTCAATATCCAAAATTTTTCTTTTTCGTTTTTCTGACATGTTCACTGTTTTAGCTACATGTACATGTATAACTTATTTACAACGAAAATTGTTATTGAAAGGAAACAATAAAAGGACAAAACCATGCTTTTATTTTTTGAGATGAATTCACCTGTATTGAGAACAAAACGGTAGTTACGTACGCACAGAACATGTTCCGCGTCATTGTATTTAATCGAGCAGATTTTTATGCATTAAAACAAGCGGACCGAGACTGCTCTTCCACAACAAACTTGTGCAGCAAATTATCGTTTTAAGAGGTAATATATGTGCGTTGGGGTTGAAAATCCACATCGATATATCCGAAATATCGATACATGCGATATCGATATATGCGAGGATGCTTCCGTTAGGTTATAATGGAAGTTGGCAGGGACCAAGACAAACGTATCAATATAACCGATATATCATTACAAGCGATATCGATACAGTTGGAGTTTACTGTATAGTAAAAACTAAAAAAATCTTCTTATAAAAAGCCTAAAGAGCTAGAGTTTAGATTCTAAGCATGAAATACAAAAAATAAAAGAAATGTATCTTCTAATCAGTGTAGTGATGTTCCGATTGTAGCAAGTCGCCGATAATCAGTTACTGTTATGTAAAACGACAATAATCAATTCACAAAAAATTTGTTCTGCGACGTCGTCAAAAATGTTAAAAGTATCAAAGGGAATTAATTCTGACGGTAATTTTCCTTTAGGCACACCTCGCCAATCGCAAAAAATCACTCGGAGACAATTTGGAGTTGAACAGGATCAATAAGTGATGTAAACAATAGTAATATAATGTGATTTGAATGGTATTATTTGACATCCATTGAACAATAAAATCTATTTCGTAAAATTATGACTATATAAGGTTAAAACTATGTTGAAAAGTGCTAAATGAAATTCATGTTACTTAATATAATCAAGTGCCTTGGTAAGAAAATTAATGTTCCCTATTTCTTTTTAACGCGACTTTATTCGAAAGTTATCGATTATGTCCCATCTGACTGAACCGATGATCGATTGGGACAAATTTCATCCGATTTCCATCACTAAATCAGTGTCTACCAAGTTTGTTCAAATAAAAGCCCTGGGGTCAAAATTGGCTCCTCCCAGGGGGGGAGTTATTGTTTTTCCCTATATGTATATAGTAAAAACTTAAAAAATCCTCTTATATAAACCCATCAGAGCTTAGATATTTATCATAAACATCTTCTACCAACCCATGTTTGTTCAAATGAAAGCCCCTGGTTTAAAATTGACCATGGCCCAGGTGTCTATATACAGGTGAGCGATTTCAGGGCCATCATGGCCCTCTTGTTTACTTTTTCAAGAAAATAATTTATATTTAAAATAATGATGGAAAATGTGCACATTGTAGACCAATCCACTAAAAGGAAATAAACAAGCACACTTCTTTCATGCAGATACTTATGAAGGATTCTCTTTCAAAATTCATAACAACAATTTTGCAAACTACAGGCATCAGCTACAGCTTTATACACTTTAACATGTAGTAAATGCATTTATATTATCAGAAAGTGAAATTTTGTTTCATGTTAACTTTGTAACTTTCTATAAATAATTTATGGAGATAGCGCTTTTTAGCTCACCTGTCACAAAGTGACAGGGTGAGCTTTTGTGATCGCTTTTCGTCCGGCGTCCGTCTGGCGTCCGTCCGTAAACTTTTACTTTAAATGACATCTCCTCATAAACCACTAAGCCAATTTCATCCAAACTTCACAGGAATGTTCCTTTGGTGGTCACCTTTAAAAATTGTTCAAAGAATTTAATTCCATGCAGAACTCTGGTTGCCATGGCAACCAAAAGAAAAAATTTAAATATCTTCTTTAAAAAAACCATAATAGCTAGAGCTTAGATATTTGGCAAGAAACATGTTCTAGTGAGTGTCTACCAAGTTTGTTCAAATAAAAGCCCTGGGGTCAAAATTGGCCCTGCCCCGGGGGGGGTCGTTGATTTTCCCTATATGCATATATTAAAAACTTAAAAAATCTTCTTTTAAAGAACCCAAAGAGCTAGAGCTAAGATATTTAGCATGAAACATGTTCTAATGGGTGTCTACCAAGTTTGTTCAAATAAAAGCCCTGGGGTCAAAATTGGCCCCGCCCCAGGGGGTCATTGATTTTCCCTATATGCATATAGTAAAAACTTAAAAAATCTTCTTTTAAAGAACCCAAAGAGTTACAGCTAAGATATTTAGCATGAAACATGTTCTAATAAATGTCTACCAAGTTTGTTCAAATAAAAGCCCTGGGGTCAAAATTGGCCCCGCCCCAGGGGTCATTGATTTTCCCTATATGCATATAGTAAAAACTTAAAAAATCTTCTTTTAAAGAACTCAAAGAGCTATGGCTAAGATATTTAGCATCAAACATGTTCTAATAGGTGTCTTCCAAGTTTGTTCAAATAAAAGCCCTTGGGTCAAAATTGGCACCGCCCCGGGGGTCATTGGTTTTCCTAAAACGTGTATAGCAAAAACTTAAAAAATCTTCTTTGAAAAAACCCAAATAGCTAGAGTTAAGTTATTAAGCATGAAACATCTTTTAGTGAGTGTCTACAAAGTTTGTTCAAATAAAAGATCTGGGGTCAAAATTGGCCCCGCCCGGGGGGTCATTGATTTTCTTTATATGTGTATAGCAAAAACTTAAAATCTTCTTTGAAAAAACCCAAATAGCTAGAGTTTAGATATTAAGCATGAAACATCTTCTTGTAAGTGTCTACAAAGTATGTTCAAATAAAAGCCCTGGGGTCAAAACTGGCCCGGCCCCAGGGGTGTCATTGTTTTTAACTATATGTGTATAGTAAAAACTTAAAAAAAGTCTTCTTTTGAAAAGCCAAATGAGCTAGAGCTTAGATGTTTAGCATGAAACATCTTCTTATGGGTTTCTACCAAGTTTGTGCAAATAAAAGCCCTTGGGTTAAAATTGGCCCTGCCACGTTGGGGGGAGGGGGGCCTTTATACAGGTGAGCGACCTCATGGCCATCATGGCCCTCTTGTTTTTGTCATGTAATGATTATTATATTAGATATTTGCTATATAGTTGTGCATGGATATTGGCTATTTGGTGAATTTTGAAGTTGATTGTGTCAAGGTCTCACGGACAAAATAATAAATACTTTCCTTAATTGTTAAGTATTGTCATATCTGTGTTAGAATGGCATCTGGGAGCAGTCACTGGTGTCAATTTTTTTTTCACAAAGTGTTCAACCACCAAAGTGTTCAAAATCGCTTTAATATCAATATGATCTCATCAGAGTTTACATTGTATTTCATTAATTTGTATGACCCTCAAAGAAAAGAAAATGTTTTTGGTTGTTTTTTTGTTGGTTTTTTAGCTCGACTATACGAAGTATATGGAGAGCTGTCCTACTCGCCCCGGCGTCCGCGTCCAGATTTTAGATTAAAGTTTTGGTGCAGTAAAATATTTTTCACTATAACTTTGTCATTTCTTAAGGTATCAACTTCAAACTTCAAATATATGTTTCTTATCATCAACCACATCTTATGTGACAAGGTTCATAACTCTAGCACCAATATTTTCAGATTTATCTCCCCTTGAACTTAGAATTTTCCTTAAAAAATACTATTTTTTACTGATACTTCTTTATTTCTTAAGGGATCAACCTCATACTTCAAATATATGTACCTTATCATCATCCCCATCTTATGTGACAAGGTTCATAACTCTAGCACCAATATTTTCAGATTTATCTCCCCTTGAACTTAGAATTTTCCTCAAAAAATACTATTTCTTACTGTTTCTTCTTTATTTCTTAAGGGATCAATCTCATACTTCAAATATATTTAAGTTATCACCATCCCCATCTTATGTGACAAGGTTCATAACTCTAGCACCAATATTTTCAGATTTATCTCCCTTTGAACTTAGAATTTTCCATAAAAAAATATTATTTTTTACTGTAACTTATTTATTTCTGAAGGGATCAACTTCATACTTCAATTATATTTACGTTATCATCATCCACATCTTATGTGACAAGGTTCATAACTCTAGCACCAATATTGCAAGAATTATCTCCCCATAAACTTAGATTTATTTACTAGAAAAATGTTATTTTTTATTTTAACTTTTTTATTTTAAAGGTATCTACCTCAAACTTCAAATACTTATTCCTTATCATCAATTACATTTATGTGACAATGTTCATAACTCTTGAAGCAATATTTACAGATTTATCTCTCTTTGAACTAAGGATTTTCTTTAAGAAATATAATAACTTCTTTATTTTTTAAGGTATCTACTTCAAACTTCAAATATATATTTCTTATCATTACACAAATGTTGTGTGGCAAGGTCCATAACTCTAGCATGACTATTTCTAGAATTATTCCCCTTGATCTTGGAATTTATGTTAACAAATGTTATTTTTTACTGTAACTGAATACATAATTATACATAATTGATTTTTCTTTCATAGTTTTGTCCTCCTTACTGCGTCCAGTATTTCATTAGTCGAGCTTCGCTGTCTCCTGTGACAGCTCTTGTTAGCTCACCTGTCACAAAGTGACAGGGTGAGCTTTTGTGATCGCTTTTCGTCCGGCGTCTGTCCCTTCGTCCGTCCGTAAACTTTTACTTTAAATGACATCTCCTCATAAACCACTAAGCCAATTTCATCCAAACTTCACAGGAATGTTCCTTTGGTGGTCACCTTTAAAAATTGTTCAAAGAATTTAATTCCATGCAGAACTCTGGTTGCCATGGCAACCGAAAGAAAAAACTTTAAATATCTTCTTTAAAAAAACCATAATAGCTAGAGCTTAGATATTTGGCATGAAACATCTTCTAGTGAGTGTCTACCAAGTTTGTTAAAAAAAAAGCCCTGGGGTCAAAATTGGCCCCGCCCCAGGGGGTCATTGATTTTCCCTATATGCATATAGTAAAAACTTAAAAAATCTTCTTTTAAAGAACCCAAAGAGCTAGAGCTAAGATATTTAGCATGAAACATGTTCTAATGGGTGTCTACCAAGTTTGTTCAAATAAAAGCCCTGGGGTCAAAATTGGCCCTGCCCCGGGGGATCATTGATTTTCCCTATATGCATATAGTAAAAACTTAAAAAATCTTCTTTTAAAGAACTCAAAGAGCTATGGCTAAGATATTGAGCATCAAACATGTTCTAATAGGTGTCTACCAAGTTTGTTCAAATAAAAGCCCTGGGGTCAAAATTGGCCCCGCCCCAGGGGGTCATTGATTTTCCCTATATGCATATAGTAAAAACTTAAAAAATCTTCTTTTAAAGAACCCAAAGAGCTAGAGCTAAGATATTTAGCATGAAACATTTTCTAATAGGTGTCTACCAAGTTTGTTCAAATAAAAGCCCTGGGGTCAAAATTGGCACCGCCCCGGGGGTCATTGATTTTCCTTATATGTGTATAGCAAAAACTTAAAATCTTCTTTGAAAAAACCCAAATAGCTAGAGTTTAGATATTAAGCATGAAACATCTTCTAGTAAGTGTCTACAAAGTTTGTTCAAATAAAAGCCCTGGGGTCAAAACTGGCCCGGCCCCAGGGTTGTCATTGTTTTTAACTATATTTATAGTAAAAACTTAAAAAAATCTTCTTTTAAAAAGCCCAATGAGCTAGAGCTTAGATGTTTAGCATGAAACATCTTCTTATGGGTTTCTACCAAGTTTGTGCAAATAAAAGCCCTTGGGTTAAAATTGGCCCTGCAACGTTGGGGGGGTGAGGGGGCTATATACAGGTGAGCGACCTCAGGGCCATCATGGCCCTCTTGTTTACTGGTTATGTGCTATTTTTGCCCACTTTGTTTATCTGATTGTAAATTTAAAGAATCGAAAAATATTGAATATTTTTAGAATCAAAGGTAACTGTGATTGAAAATGATGATGAACAGCTGCCATGTGAACCTAAACAGAAAATGCAGAATATCAGATCAAGCACACCAAATAAAGGTGACACACAAGGGCAAGCCTTTCAGTTTGAGGTAATAATTCTAACATTGTAACAGTCATTAAAGAAAACCTGTATGCTTTGTAAGATTTTTCAGGAAATAAGGAAGGAGATTGATTTAAACATATCTAAATATTTGCATCAGAAATAATTATTTTTCAATTATATTGCTTGAGTTGCAAAACTTTGATAAAAAATCTTTAGTGATGATAGTGGAAGATTAAAATAAAATAAAAAATTCACATCTTGTTTGAATGTCACTGTCATCAGCTTAAATTAATATTCAACCTTCCTGGTACGGAAAACCTATATATTTTAACCTTTTTTTATGCCAGCTAAGACAAATGCCACCATTTTTAGCTCACCTGTCACAAAGTGACAGGGTGAGCTTTTGTGATCGCTTTTCGTCCGGCGTCCGTCCGTCCGTAAACTTTTACTTTAAATGACATCTCCTCATAAACCACTAAGCCAATTTCATCCAAACTTCACAGGAATGTTCCTTTGGTGGTCACCTTTAAAAATTGTTCAAAGAATTTAATTCCATGCAGAACTCTGGTTGCCATGGCAACCAAAAGAAAAAAACTTTAAATATCTTCTTTTAGAAAACCATAAGAGCTAGAGCTTAGATATTTGGCATGAAACATCTTCTAGTGAGTGTCTACCAAGTTTGTTCAAATAAAAGCCCTGGGGTCAAATTTGGCCCTGCCCCGGGGGTCATTGATTTTCCCTATATGCATATAGTAAAAACTTAATAAATCTTCTTTTAAAGAACCCAAAGAGCTAGAGCTAAGATATTTAGCATGAAACATGTTCTAATGGGTGTCTACCATGTTTGTTCAAATAAAAGCCCTGGGGTCAAAATTGGCCCTGCCCCGGGGGGGTCATTGATTTTCCTATATGCATATAGTAAAAACTTAAAAAATCTTCTTTTAAAGAACTCAAAGAGCTATGGCTAAGATATTGAGCATCAAACATGTTCTAATAGGTGTCTACCAAGTTTGTTCAAATAAAAGCCCTGGGGTCAAAATTGGCCCCGCCCCAGGGGTCATTGATTTTCCCTATGTGCATATAGAAAAAAAACTTAAAAAATCTTCTTTTAAAGAACCAAAAGAGTTAGAGCTAAGATATTTAGCATGAAACATGTTCTAATAAGTGTCTACCAAGTTTGTCCAAATAAAAGCCCTGGGGTCAAAATTGGCCCCGCCCTTGGGGGTCATTGATTTTCCCTATATGCATATAGTAAAAACTTAAAAAATCTTCTTTTAAAGAACTCAAAGAGCTATGGCTAAGATATTTAGCATGAAACATGTTCTAATAGGTGTCTACCAAGTTTGTTCAAGTAAAAGACCAGGGGTCAAAATTGGCCCCGCCCCAGGGGTCATTGATTTTCTTTATATGTGTATAGCAAAAACTTAAAATCTTTGGAAAAACCCAAATAGCTAGAGTTTAGATATTAAGCATGAAACATCTTCTAGTAAGTGTCTACAAAGTTTGTTCAAATAAAAGCCCTGGGGTCAAAACTGGCCCGGCCCCAGGGGTGTCATTGTTTTAACTATATGTGTATAGTAAAAACTTTAAAAAAATCTTCTTTTAAAAAGCCCAATGAGCTAGAGCTTAGATGTTTAGCATGAAACATCTTCTTATGGGTGTCTACCAAGTTTGTGCAAATAAAAGCCCTTGGGTTAAATTGGCCCTGCAACGTTGGGGGGGGGGGGGGGGGGTTGGTGGGGCCTATATACAGGTGAGCGACCTCAGGGCCATCATGGCCCTCTTGTTAGCCATGCTGGCCAACCTGCACATCCTTGCAATCTGACCTTATTCAAAACTACTAGCAGCCTAACTATTAAAACCCCTTACTTCATTACCTTATCTGTGAATAAAGACTATCAAAAGAAAAGGCCAAAGATAAGGCCATTATAGACAAGTGGTCTTTATTTGGAGTGTACTCACTTGTGTTTTTATATATGAAGGTTTATCTTTGAGTGGTCTTTATTTACAGGGTGGTCATTAACACAGGTCTGACTGTATTGTTTTAAGTACTCTAGTAATATTATTGTATCAATACATATTATAACCTAGAGATAGCCACCTCCACCCCTTTTCCCAAATCATGATTAACATTGCCTAATTGTTGCTGCAAGTGCTTCTATAATTTCCAGCATCTACTTTACCTGCAATTTACCACTTACTTCCCTTCTATTATCAAATTTCCTCCCATTACACTTTCACATTTCTCTCCTCTATTTTCCCTCATAATTGATATCCCTCATCATTATTTTCCCGCCTATCATTATTTTCCCTCCTTATTTTCCCTCATTTTTATTTCAGATTGATATATCCTCAGTCAACTTTGATTCAGGAGATGAGGATCTGCTTCATTTCCATGAATCAAGGGAAGTTAATTCAGAGGAATGTATACAGCTGTCTACCACATTAATAGATTCTCACCAGGTATCTTAATGCCATACAATATATGTTTTGCAAAGTGTTCCAATTGAACTATTTAGAACACAAAAGATCATTTAACTATTTAGAACATGTAAGATCATTTATAGCTTGACATAATATATATACTTACAGATGAAGATCTGACCTGACAAATTTGTCCTAAATTGGGGCTGGGGAATTGGTGACAGGACAAGTTTTGAGGTTAACAGATAATTGTAGTGTTTTACTGTCCATAATTATAGATAATGGCAAACAATGGATAAAGTTTGCCTGCTTAGCTCAATAGAGAGAGCATCAGATTTATATTTGCTAGTTCTATTCTTCCATGGGGGGAAATTTCTCCTTAACAATGAATTTCCAATACTGTCAGAGTCTGGTGGTCAGTTGTTATAACAGCTGATTGCATTATTTCTGGTTGAACCATAACTCATGATAATGTTTTAGAATTACATGTATTATTTCACTTTATGAGTAATGCAGGTGACAAGAATGAAAACAATCCAATTGCTGTTATATACCAGATTTGTACTTTTTGATAATTAAGTGTGATATATATATTTAATATTGATTTTGTGAATTTTATAAATTTTCTCCTGTTTGACTGGTAATTTGGCAGTGTGTGACTATAAGAATCTTACACCGGCTACCGGTACAGACCGGAATATCTAGCTCGAGGGTAACTGTTTACAGCGGTAACGAGGCTCTGCCGAGTTTCCGCTTAACAGTTACCCGAGAGCTAGATATTCCCGTCTGTACCAACAGCCGGTGTTTGATTCTTTTTTCTTGCATATTACGTGTCAATTATTTTCGGAACAGAAATTATGCAAACTGATATTCTCATTACGCAATTTTTACTTATAGTAGCGTATGATAATACAACTTCATTCATAACGGAAAAATGACGTCATCCTAAGAACGCGATTCATTCATATAAGGCGCGCGTCAATGACGTCATTTAATGCATGCGACTTGTCTTACATGGGGGTGTAAGACAGAGTTTTCTAGCACCGGTGTAAACGGTAGATAATCCTGTCTGAGATGCTTTTTGTTAGATTTATATTGATTTCTTTTCATATAATCCAGTAATATGTACCGTCTTATTTTCTCTTGTTTGTTTCAGGACAAGGTTGAGATCAATGATACATTAAAATATGTAGATGATATAAGTAATGCTGGAAAAAATTTGTCTCCAACAACTGAATGTATGAAAGAAAGCCCTAAGTCAAATAAACGAAGAGGCTTGAAGAAGCCAAAAAATGCAGCTACTTTTAAATCCAAAGTTGTAAATAAAAGAGGCCGGAGGACATTAAAGTCAAGAGAATTGAGAAACAGTGTTAGGAAGAGGTCTAGCAGTGGTCTATCGAGAGTTACGAGTCAGTCTGATTTCAACAGGAGAAGGTCATCTAGAATATCAGCAAGTAATTATATGAACAAGGGCTCTATAAATAAAACTGATGACATAGATATAACCATTGTTAAGAATAGTCGAAATGCTATTAGCCAAGATCTCAGGAAAGCCAAGAAAAGTGAAAATGTTGAAAATTATGAAAAGGTTCAGTCCGACACAATAGTTGAAGATGTGTATCACATTGATAATTCTGATATCGTTGCAAGTAATGTAATAACTGCAAGTAATGTCATAACTGCAGATAAAGATGCTTCTCTTGATGATGATGTGTTTGATATTGAAGAATCTGCTCTGAATGTGCCAGATGCTGAAACTCAAAAATTGGCCAGGAAAAATTACTGTACTATATTTACAAGAAGACCAAGTAAAAGAAAATCAAGTGAAATATATTTCCATCCAAAAGGTTTACTTGATTTCAACACAAGAAGCTATTCTAGTGTGAGTTCACGCAGTGTAAATAACCTATTTATTGTAGAAAGAAGAGAAAGTGAAAATAAACAGATTTGCCCCAAAGTTAGTAAACCATCTAAAAGAGATTGTATATCAGTATGTACCCTGATGGATGAAGACTTTACTTGTCCTCAGAAGAAAATTTCTATTGTTTGCTATACTGCAACTGATACAAGATCTCGTGAAGAAATTCTAGCAACTGTGCCAGTGGGTAAGTTAAATAATTTGCTATTTTGGGTATGTATGTGATTTTAAAATGTTTTGATAAGGGTAGGTGTCTTTAAGTCATAATGCCATTTGAAAAAACTTGCAAGATTCTGTAAAACTAAAGGGATAATTTTATTTCTTTTCATTTTGTATAGATGTATATTGTAATTTGTAAAGGATAAAAATTCTTGTCTGGAATTGTTAAGTTAAATTACATAATTAATACAGCACTGTAACAGAGATTTAACAAAAAAAGTAAGGGATAATTTTTGATAAGTTTCTAACATCTGGGAAGGCGAATAAGCTTACTCTTTTTTTCCTGCTTGCATGAATCACTGATTTTTTTCTTTTGCAGATAGTCTGATGTCTTGAGTTTTGCATTGAGCTATACATTTGCACATGGTTATTGGGTATATTTTACAATCAAAGAAAGATATATTGAGTGCCTAACTCTATACTGTTTGCTGCTCCATTTTATATTTTGACATTTAAATCCTTTAAAATTCAAATGGACTAATCAAAATTCAAAGCATGGCAAATCTATTTCACAATTTCTGAAGGTCAGGGTTAACCTGATGTCTACTGTATGTGTACAGAACCGGTAGGCACAAGTTTAATTATATTGACATATGACTTGATGTGATATGAAACTGAAACATTTATAAATGTGAATTCTTATGTAGAAAGAAATTGATAATTTATTATTAACTTATTTGTATAAATGATATTTAATTTGTTTGTTGAATCAATTTGTAGTCTGGTAGTTGTTGTTGTACATGTATATTCTGTTTCACTGATTGTCTTTGGTAAAAATACATTATATGTATATTTCTTTTGTAATGCCATATTAAATGAATTGTAAATGACAAAATTTATAACATATTTAAAATTATAAATTTAATTATTACTTACTAGTATTTGTTTACACCTGTCGTGATAATAAACCTAATGTTTTACGGTGGTGTTCTCACTTATTTACACCTTATCTAAACCCATATCTCTCAATAAAATATTTGTGTAAATGCCATGCACATACTGAAAGAAGAAAGCAGTTTAATCTGTTACTAATGAGGGTAATAAAATACCATTTTCCACTGAATTAAGCGAGGGAAAATTACTCCCAAGATAATAATAACGATTGCTGGATAGGTTTTGTTCTGAACACTCATGAATGTTTGTTATCAAATGATGTTCGTATATTTGTAAAAGATTAAAGTACTAAATGCCATTCAATCATTCATCGATATTTTTCTGTCAATAGAGTAAAGAAATTGTGTTGAAATATGCCCAAAGTGCAACATGTAATAGTTGAAAATACAGTGAAGAGGGCGAAAGTATGTAACTTCAAAATATTTGACATGATGGTTATTTTTAATACGCATATTATGTATGTAAACAGAAGACATTTAACTTGAAAAAGTTTTTTTTTATTAAGAGTATAAATATCAAAACACACAAAAATTACCTGTAATAATATGATGAACAAAACTAACATGATTTTAAAGTGCAACGCCACTAGATAAGCATAATTAATCATTTAAAGATCAAACTTATGAAAAACGTTGAGTAAGAAATATTCTCAAACCAGGTGGATATTTGGTTGGGGTTTTTGTGCAAAATTTTACATAACGGAGTCTGAGAGATTTTGACATGCTATAGGTAATTCTATGGATAAGTGCCTAAAGATAGATCTTATAAAAATGAACTTGTACATTTGCTATCAATTTACACATTGTAATAATTTTTCACATTAATAATTAAAAATGAATACAAATCTGGGGGCGTGCTGCTTTAACACATGTCAAATGTTTTGATGCTATAAAGTACAAAACAAGAGGCACCAATAGATAATATAGATATATGTTCCTGCTTGAAACAGATCAGGGTAGCAGGGAATAAATAATGATTCCAACTAGATTTATAAATGTACGACGAGGAATATTCTACAAAGTCTTATTTGGAAAACAGTACACACTTGAAAAGTAATTAAAAATCAACACAAGTTATTTTATATGAAACACTCCCTTTAAAGTTTTAATTTCAAGTATAACATTTTTATACCACACATTCATATTTGTAACAGGAAATTATGCCTGGGTACATGTAGATGCTACTATTACTTACTGAAATTATTTGTGGTTGCATACGTAATAAATACATGTAGTTAACGCTAAACTGCTGTACGTCAGTGGACAACTTGTACAAATGTATGGTATATACTTTTGGGCTGGCTAAATGTTCATCTTTATATTCCTAAATATATAATGAACAGTTCCACAAATGGAAGCTGAACAAGTCAATTGTAGGAACCCAGCGGGTTAAGGTGACATTGCTTATTTATTTAAATTGATATTTGAAATATTTCCCAGTAATGGGATGCATGAAGTAATTAAAATGCTTTAAATCAGAATTATTATTATCTCACTCTACTCAATCAATTATCAAAGTCATATATAAATATGGAAATACAAAGTCTACAATATGCTAGAATAATAAACACTCTGAAGTACATGTAAAAAAGACAAACCACACCGTCTTCATTAATAATATGAAAAAAGTTAAAAAAAATCTAGTCATTACTATAAATAGCTGCACACGATTATAATTATGAAATCTCTGTTCAAGAAAAAAACCAGAACATATTTGATTAATATTTCAAAAGAAAAATAAACAACGTAAATGCTTCTGCTACACCGGTGTCGCTGCCCCTTTCCCCTCGGCTGCTTTGATGGTCTCTTCATCGGCAGTGATGTGCTCTGTTTCTTCACTACTGTCACGCTGTTAACAGAAAATATTTAACCATAAAACGATCAGTCAACAAATTGAGGATACCCGTAGAGATATTTTGCACATTGTAATTAGTATTATTATTGTTATTCTTTAAACATAATCATTATGTATGTATATATAATACAATACTGTTTTTGACAGGTAAAAATAAGAAAGAAATGCGATCTTGAAGACGATATTTAATATGGAAATAAACTGTTTTCTTGGTAGAAGTAATAAAAATGATAAAATGCTCGCAACATTAACAGTGTCTATATTTTTAACATAATGCTATTATATACCCGCTTGGGCACGACAATAAAATATTTTGTCCATGTTTTGTAATTAAGTATTTTTATAGTTAAATAAGGTCGGTGTATAAACTATTACCAACCGATTCTGCCCATTTGAAGATGCAAATTTCAATAAGGCATATAATGCCCCCGATTATAATTCCTGCTACAACGATCAGCATGGCCGACGAAAAGGTTGATAAATCGAGTTTGTAAAACCGAACACTTTCTTTCCGATCAAGTTGGGATATTCCCGTACACCCCCCTCGTTCGTCAAACCATTTCTTTTCAATCTCGTGCAATTCTCCGGTTTCAGTCAGTTTAATCAATCCTGTGTTAAGGTCGCTCGCTATGGAAGAGTTCTTTTGTAGTGCAAAAGCATAATGCTTGTACGTCAAGTCCTCCACGTGAACCGCATACAGATCACATGGCTTTCTGTTGGCTATGAACCTTGCTGCTGGACGCTCCATTATTGCAGCAAAATTAGATTCTTTATTATTCCGCACGTGCATCTTAAGACGATGTATAGAATTAAAATTTTCATTATCTTGGTCATTGATTGCTCTTTGAAACAGCTCTTGACAAAAGGGCGATTTAGACTCGCGAAAGAACCTGTATGTGGAGCCGCTATTTAAGAATCCTACCCTCATGTCTGCGTTTTTTGACAGATCTCTGCAATAAAAAGTAATCGTGGTGTTGTTTTTGTCTATTCCTTGCGGGGACTTTTATCATCTTTAGCTAAGACGAGTGTTATATGTATTATAACCATATCTGTAAGGGGAAAAAGATTGTTAAGGTAGACCATGTGTACTTTGAAGAGTATTCAAATAGGCTAAAAATCGCTTGCAAACTACATTAAAATTGAGGGGCGTGGGTTCAAACCCCAGAAGGGGCAACTTTTTTTTTCTTTCTTTTTTTCTTTTTATCATTATTTATGTATCTCTCTGATCCCTTATGGAAGAAAAAAGGGTTTGATTTAAATTATATAATTATTGTAGGTATTTATTTGCTAAATAATGCCAAAATTTATAGAAAATATGATACCAGATATTTTCAAAGTTTAATAAAATAAAAATTACACAGTAAAAGTATTTTATATTTCGCATGCTCAACCAATATACCTTTAAGAAAATTTAGGCAAACTTTGAAAACAGCCCCTCATGGTGAATCGTAGGAATATTTTGAATAAGGCATTTTATATAGGGAAATGGTAAAATTATTGTTTTAAGTGGGTGGGGTAGGGTAACATTTTTGTACATATTAAGAACATTTTGTTTAGAATCAAACATTTTGCTTGTGTAATTTGTTACCTGAATGTTATTATTTGTTTCTTAACAATGAGCAATAGAAAAACATTCTTTATAATGATGATATTACTGATTATTTAGAGTTTCCTCATTTCTGAAAATGTGCCCTTCTAATTGCAAAGTCTTAGTTCAGAAATATATCCATAACTCATAAACCACATGATAAATTGTATTTCAATTTTGCATACAGATGACCTTGAAGACTTTTAACTGTCCTATGTTGTCAATTTTACAGTTCCTTATGGTTACCATTACCTATGGTCTACCTTAAATGCTTGTGTGGTAAATTTGATTTACCATGCAAAAAAACTCTTAAATGCCGACATAAAGATTATTTTAATTCGCCAAAACGCATGCAGACTTAGTTCAATTCAATATACAACATCGCTGATCAAGAACATCTTTGTTGCCAATTGAATGAATGCGCATAAAATAATTACTTACTCAAAGCTTTTTATCTTTGAAAATTCTTGGGAAGCGAAGTAGTCTGGTCCAATACGAAGGAGGTTGGTAAGGTTGGCTGTATATGATACGATAAAGAGGATTGTGAAGCACCACCATGCAGCCACCAGTACTCGAGCCCCAATAGAGCGGGGTGCTCGGACGTAACCTGCATTCAAGAAACATGCAATTTATATTTTAACTCAATAGGTAGTAAAGTGAATTAAAATGGTGTTAAACTTCTTTTTTTTTTTTTGCTCGAACAGTTAAAACATCGGGCTAGTAATTTAAGAGTCGCTAGCTCCGCGGGTTCAAACCCCGTCAGGTCATGCCGTATTTCCTTAAACAAGAAACTACACTAGAACGGATTGGAGAGTATGTTCTTAAGCTTTTGTGCTTCCTATATACTCGAACGATAATAAATTTGGTATGAACTTGCGGATTTATCTGAAAACAAATATTTCAATTCAAGTTTTGAAATTTGCTTACTCTGTTTCAAAACTGCGTGGATCTATTGTAGAAACATTTACGGTCTTAATGTCCTAAACATTTCCACCAAAAGCAGCGTTGGTAACACCATTTCGTATGGTATGGTAACATCAAAGTAGCAACAAATGCATTTCTGTATTTCGTCATGAAGATTTTAGATTTTTTTTAGCGTTTGAGATTTAGATAGAAGGAAAACTTTCAAGTCAAATTTCTCCAGTCAAATAAACAAGAATTATTCTTTCAATGTTAGTTTAATGCACTCTCAATTCGTTTCTATACAATATGTTTATCAATGCTCAAACGTGAACAAATATAAAGTGCTTTTTAAGTATTAATATATATTAACAAAATTTAAAACGTCATTACCTTGCCACATCAGCGTACTAAAAACAAAGAAAAAAGAATTGAGACATGTGAATGACTCTCCTTCTCGCGCGGTTGCCTCGTGATCACGTGCCATTCTTCTCCATTCATATGGATTAAAATGCATCATGATGTACAACACTGTTCCAGTCACGAACATGGCCACAAAGGCCATCAACCAGACAGACAGCTCGAATGGGTAGAACAGCCTGGCAAGATCATAATCGAGTGAAACTTCCCCGCCTCTAGGTTTTTTCATCAAGATTGACAGCCCTATAGGCACGACGGGATAGGAGAAGTCTACAGCTTCAGACCTTGGTGCGGTCACTGTAAGGAAACCTGCAATGTCTGCATTCTAAAAATACATCAGAAATGTAATCAGTTTTATTTATTTATACATTTCTTATATTTTATATTAATTGAACATAATCTATTACTACGAGAAGTCGCAACGGACGATGCCAACTCTAAAGTAAACTGTTATTTTGTATCGTAAAATAATGCTTAAATTCGTGATTTGATTGATTTCATTTACATATTAAGTCATTAACATGATTTTTTTCGCGTTTTTCTTTCCTTTTATTTGTTTAACTAGATTGACGTTACCAAAACTGACGCTAAATGGACGTAATTTCGAGATCCTTAATATGCTTCTTTGCTATACCTTTGAATGAATATAACGTGAATAAAAATTCTATATCACACGTTTTAAGCTGTGTCACATGATTTTATCTCATTTTTTTTTCAATATCTAAAAGAAAAAGAAATAAATGTAAGGTAAAGGAAAATATAATTCTTACCCCGTTCACCAATTCCCCTATCATACCCAGCCATGTGCCATTTAATTGACGGCCGTAGCTACCATCAGGGGATAAGGAGATGCTGTAATTTAGTTTAAGACTGTCCAGAATATCCGGTATCATACCGGAAAACCCACCGTCTGCATCTTTTATCAAAAACGGTTCTTCCTGTCGGGTACAAAAACATGTATAATATGTACAGAATACTAGTATCAAATTTATACAGAGTTATAAAATTACACGATATCATAAAAAATGACATCTAAATAATTGATTTAATTTCAGTAAGACATTAATTGTTGCATGTAATTATTATTTAATACAACTGACTCCGACCAAGTGACATGCAAAATGAATGATGAATTCAAAACAGTCCGCTACAAAGATTGAACTTCCAACAGAAAACGGCCTTGCTAGACTGGATGGATGTTAAGTCTGGGCCGACTCTATACTGGGGTCAAACGCTAAGAAAAAGTCAAGAGTTTGTTTGTTTGTTTGTTCTGTTTGTTTGTTTGTTTGTTTGTTTGTTTGTTTGCTTGCTTGCTTGCTTGCTTGCTTGCTTGTTTGTTATACCAAGAAATAGGTAAGACTTTAAGTGAAACGCAAGTAAAAAATGTATCTTATGTAAACTTACAAAGTTAGTATGTTAAACATGAAAACATCTGATATAAGCCAAGATTGTTAGCTTAGTATATAAGAACGTCTTGTAAATGATGTAAAAACATCAAGGGGGAATACTAAAGTAAAATGTTTTATCTGGCACAGAAATGACGGGTATAATTTATGAATTACCAAACGAATATTACACTGTATTATACTGCAATGAAAAGTAGACAGGTATTTTCTTTTGAATTTTGTTTATTTTGTTATCTTCAGTGTTATTTTGTTATAATTATATAGTTTAAGGAAGGTTTATGGCTTTATGAAGGTGCTCGCTGTCAGGAGATAAAAAATTAATTATGAACATGAATACAAAGACCTATCTTCCTTATAATAAGTTAAAGAAGAATGTTATGTTGTCTAAGTGTTCAATTAAAAAAATTCTGACCATAATTCCAGTCTAAATTACTTTAATGAAATGCTGGGTACTCCTATCTGCCTTATATCGGGCACGAACGGGCACAATGTAAAACCGCCGACCTTGTGCCTGTTCAATGTCACTGGTAGCGAGATAGGTGTGTAAGTAACCTACCTATACACTCATTTATAATTGAGATGATATTTTAAGCCGACAGTAATGATAATCACAGTCATACTTACATGCACAGACGTCACTCTTAGAGGTGTCTGGAAAAAACAAACAATATTTTTTGTTATAAGATGATTATAATGCACATGAATAAAGAGCTAAGGGTCTAACATGTTTCGTCATATCAAATGAAATGATTGACATAATAGGATTATTGTGTAACAATTAACTCCCTGAATTTCAGAAATGGACTCCCCCAGCTTCAATTTTTGGAACTGTCCATTATCAAGATGAAAATTGGAAGTTCTTCAGCTAACAGTATTTAGCGATATATAAGGCTGTACAGATTTCCAGGCTGACCTGGCTCTATACTTTTGACAAAGGCGTAAATTACTTTAAAGAACATGCATGTTAAAATGAGCTGATTTAAAATGCATTCAGTCTGGTTTATTGTATTTCCATTTGTTAAGATATTGAAATCGGAAAATATATATAAGGTATAACACCGTGCGTGTATTGTATACTAAATTAAGAATAATATGAATGTATAGAAATCAGTCATTTTAAAAAAAAACACCTTTAAATAATTACTATGGAAACTCGTCGCACGTTCTACTAGAAAAACAACTACGTAATTAACGTAATGTCCTTATCAAATTTTACGTCAGATGTCATGCAATTTCTTTCCAAACTTCACAAATACCCATTTGAATGTAGTTTGCGTGTAAATATGCAAAAGTAACGTCCTCATAACAAAGAAAAACTTTACCTGAGAGTTTACTGAACTTAGATATCCAAATGCAAACAAGATCAACAATAAACAATCTTCGCGCGTCTCCATTTTGTTAAAGAGTTCCGACGGATGTTGAGTTAGTCACTGACACTGTTAGATTCTAGGTTTCTAGTCTCTCTTTATTGATCCATACTTTAGCAAATACTGCCATTACAATCTCTGATATAACTAAGGAGCGTAATACGTATCATTGGTGTTTATTTATTATATAATATGAATCTTCTTCAGATTTTATCATGAGTTTGTACATATACATGACTGTGGCATTTAACATAAAACAGGTACAGCACCTTGTAGTTCAATAAAAGAATTATCGTTGTGACATTATTTTGAATGAAGTTGTGAAAAAATGAATTTTTCAAACTGAAATTGCGCAAAGTAAATAATATTTGGGAACATAAAAAATGATTAAGAGAATAAAAAGGTGGAAGACCAGCAGAATCGACCGTCACTGAAACTAATATTGATAACCGTAACGTCTCCAGTTATTTTGGTCGTCTTTGTGTTTTGGAAGAAACGCTATATTCCACGTAAGCTTCCATTTATTTGATGACAGAAAAATATGGAAGACTAATTTTAATAATAATTATTCATAATTTATCATAGCAACGTCATGAATTCACGATTTCAGCTTCATTATTTCACAATTCCAACTTCATGAATTCAAGATTTAAATGTCGTGTCTGCGATTTCATGAATTCGTGAATTTATCTAAACGAATTTAGGTTTTGAACTTCTTCACGATTTTAACTTCACGATATTTTTTCCATTTCAGTTCATGACGTTGAAATCCTTAATTTTTTGAAGCTTAAATTGTCAGAATTTAAATAAATAAATTCATAAGGTTGAAATCATGGACTCGTAATGTTTAAATTGTGAAAACAACATTCTTAAAGTTGAAATAGTACATTTATGACGTCGAAACCGTAAATTCGTGATGTTAAAATCGTGCATTCATGACGTTGAAATCGTAAGGATGAAATCATGAATTTATGATTATTAAGTCAAAATGTCCCCACCGATCTTTCGTAGAAGAATGACCATTGTGTGTAGCTGAGATAAATATACAGCCACTGCAAATGATATCCTTAGACTTTAGAAATAATTACCCTTACACCACCAATGTGTCATGGTCTCGAAAACGTACAATTCTTATGGAAAACCCCAGGGATGATGGTTATTCAACATTTGAACGTTTAAATTAAGAAGCTGCTTAGTGTTTGCTAGATAAGAATACCTTCATTTAAGATTTTATTAACTAACATAAATTATTGATTTTTAAATTTGAGTCTTTCCTCGTCAAATTTGCAGAACCACCAGGCGTCATTGATGGCGTGAATTTCCCACCATATTATAATGTTTTCATGAAACGCAGGTACAATTACCTGCATCTTACTGAAATAACGGTGTTTTACTGCAGAAATTATGTATTAATCGATGTACACGCAAGAACATTAAAACAAAAATGTTTTTTCTAAATAATGATTATTTTCTTCAGGCAAATCTTAGTCATTATGCGTTACAATTATTTATTAATTAGTGCTCTCGTGAAATAAAATTTGATATTAAATCAAGTTTAAACATTTCATATGAACAAATTTCAGTCAGTCAGCAGCATCATTATGAATTAAACATTATTTAATATTTAATGTATGTTTGTGTCTGAAAATAAACTAACGTTACGAATATTTATTAGAAATGATTACGTCTAAAGTACTTCCTCATTTGTTAATGACCTAAAGGGAATTAATTACATTTCAAGAACAAACGACGTGTCCGTATTATTAGCCAGTGGTTCGATACCGTCGACTAATGGGTGCGATGTCAGTGGTGACCTCAGAAATTCGAGCTTGAAAATTCCTGAATCTGGCGGTAACTTGATCTGTGTCGATTTCTTAACATTGTCGAATTTATTTGCTAATAAGTTGGCTTTTTTTATATTTCGGGACAAGGGTCAGCAATAAGTATATACAGTTGTATGTATAATATGTATATCAGGTCAGTTTGTTATAATTTCGACATATTCTCGACTGGAAACAACCTATTCTCGAGCACATCTCGAACATAAAGTCACAGAGGCAATTGTAGAATGTTTAGAATCTTCTAGAGTTGTTCATTTTCAAAACTTTGTCTAAAACTCATAAGACTTCATCAGCAGTATAGCTAGGCACACGTGCCACGGGAACAATTCAAACTCACGAAAAACGGTTCTTCGCATCTACCAAAGTGTTTCAGACTCTCTGAAGCTGTATAAAAGCAGTGTAATAGGTTATTGTTATATTGATCAAAATTTACAATTATTTCAGAAGAAAGATTTTTTCTTAAGATACATCGATATCCTTTTAAGGAAGTATCGTTAAACAATTATTTGGGACAAATTTCCATTTATTTCCATTTGGATATTGTGTAACTTTACATCAATTCTGGGACATTTGAATAATTAAGTATCTGGATCGAGCGAAAAAAGAGCAGTTCTTACTAAAATATTCCAATAAAAGATATCATTCTTCTAGAATATTGGTGTTCATAAAATCATAAAAGTAGGGCAAAAGACGTTATTTATTCATCAGATATTACAGCTTGACTGAAAAAATACGTGTTATTAGTTTGATAACAATAACTGCAGTCCTCTGTGGCTGCGTTGTCAAGGTCACTGACTTCCCGTTTGCGCCCTAAATAATGCACGACAATGTAACTGGGGATCCAATAAAGCTGTATTATATTTAATGTATAAAATACTGGTGAAAACTCTTATATATGTCTGAAAAAAGATATCCAAGAAATTGTTATACAATGTTTATACAGCAAAGATTGGGCATCTTCAATTAGAGATTTGTTGTACAAAAATGGTTTTGGATTTGTTTGGTTAAACCAAATTATTGGTGATTTTAATGTATTTTTGTATTATTTTAAACAAGACTTGCAGATTGTAAAACACAAAATCTGGTATCAACAGATTACTTACTGATTCCACGCGTTATGATACATATATTTACAATTTAAAACTATGTTCAATCCTAAGAGATATGTGTCTATTAATTTACCGTTTTTATGTTAAAAAAGCATTTGCTAAATTTCCTTGTTCAAGTCACACAAGTCAAACATGTCATCATCTTGGTACGTTATTGTCAGTATTGTTATGTTAACTTTAATAAACTGAGGATGAATTTCATGTATTCTTTGCAGACATTGCAGACATGAATGACTGCAATTTTTAATGAGCTGGTATAACGTAGTTGTGAATATGAATATTTTTGTTATTCAAAGAATTGTTCTAATGATGATAATATAAATTCGAGTGCTTATTTTTGTACCTGCCATTTTCAAATATGAAATAACATGACACAAAACAAAATATATCAAATTCATTGTATTTTTGTCCGGAGGCTATATTTACAAAGAAAAGTGTTGTTGTAGCTGCTGCTGATGTTGTTGTTGTTGTACAATGTCGGAGCGACTTAAGCTCCAGGAATCAAACAAATATCATAGAGCACTTATAAACACATAGATAAACATATTAAATTAAGTAAAACGAATTTGACATGAAAGTAAATACTGAAAATACTGTAAAATATTGAATTGTTTAATCTATTGAAATATGGATAATATATATATTTAAGATATTTTAACGAAGTAAGAGTTAACTTTAGAATAACCTGACTCAAGTAAGTGGACATGTTGATGTTCCCTTGAGAAACTTTGATATTGTCCCGACAAAAACATAAATGGACTTGAGAATGCTCAAAGACTCATTCTAAAAATGCGTTTAAGAGACATCGATCAAACAAGTTATTATGTATACATATGTCGTCAACTGCCACTAATCAATGAAATAATAAATGACAATTTAATGGGAATTTTACAGATTGACTCATAAGTTTAAAATAAACATTTCCCAGGGGGAAGGGATGTTCAAAGTATCGCAGTATTGATTTTACTCGAGGCGAGTATTTTTACTAAAGATACTGACAGTAAAACAAGAAAATAATGGGCTGTCGAATGATGTTTTAGATTCAATGAGAAGATTAGCTAGTAATACGCCAAATAATCTGTAGAAAAAAAATGCTAGTTGTGGGTGTAAGTACCTGTAATAATCATATTGCACATGGAAGAAAATATGCTTCCTGTTAAACATCTTATGATCAAACACACTTATCTGGCCAATAAGAAAATAACGATTAAAAAGAAATGGATGTCGCAGCTACTGAGTGAATGGCATTAAAGTTCAGTACCAAAAGAGAAGAATTATCACATTTTAAAATGAGTCTAAGTTACACTGCATTTATAAAATTGTGTTATAAAGTAACTGTGAATAAAAAAAACGTAATTTCTACCAATGTTTAAATGTAAATGTTTGTAGATTAGTATTAGATGCCGGTATAATGCTGCTGGCACAGTCAAGTCACTGCTGCAGCTAAAATTTAGTATCAGACCAACATAAATCTTGATACCAAGAGAGCCATGATGGCCCTGAGTCGCTCACCAGAAACAACTTCTTTTCAGTGTTGGAAATTATCCATTGTTAATATTTTCTAATATTGAATTTGAGCATAGACTACCTTTAAACTATAATTTGAAGAAATGTCATGACCTGGGGCATATAAGCTTTTGCTTAAACGGGGCCTATCATATTATTATGAGCAAACTTGATAAAAGATTACATAAGAATGCTACAGACAAAGTTTGGTGATCATCCATCCATTACAAATGCTTCATCCTTACTAAAAAATCACTTTCGGCATATAATGCTCCGCCTAGCGATGCTCTTGTTTCCATTGATCGTCTTAAATAAGATACATTGTATGTATATTCATGGAGCTAAATATATATATATATATTCTACGGCAAATTTAAAATAGCGTTTTTGATAATATATATATATTTCTTTTGTGATGCCATGTTGAATGAATTGTAAATGGCAAAATTTATAACATATTTAAAAATTTAAAATTATAATTTTTCATTATTACTTACTAGTATTTGTTTTAATAAACCTAATGTTTCATTGGGGTGTTCTAACTTATTTATGCCCTATCTAAACCGATATCTCTGATAGTAAAATATTTGTGTAACTGCCATGCACAAACTTTAAGAAGAAATCGGTTTAATCTGTTACTAATGAGGGTAGTAAAATATAATTTTCCGCTGAATTAAGCGATGGAAAATTATTCCAAGATAATAATAACGATTGCAAAATAGATTGGTCTGGATATTTTTTTCTGAGCATTGTTATGTTCAAGTCATATTGAATAATAATATCTTTTCTGTTCTGTTCTGTTCTGTTATTAAATGAGGCTTGTAAATTCTTAAATGAATAAAATACTATATGCCTCTCATCGATATTCTTCTGTCAATTGAGTGAATTTTTTGTTTGTTTGTTTCATTTTACGCCTTTTTCCAACAGTATTTCAGTCATATAGGCGGGTAGTTTCCTAACCATCGTTCCTGGAGAGTTACACCAGTACTAGACTACCTTCCTCCGCGTTAAACTACCAAAGCATCTCCCGGGGATCGAACCCACGCCAGAGAGGTCACTGGATAAGAAGTCATTACTCTAACAATAGAGTGAAGAAATTGTGTTGAAAGATTTACTCCTAGATGTAATGATTGAAAATTTAAAATGGAGCGATGGTGGAGGGTCGAAAGTATGTAATTTCAGAATATTTGATATGCTGAATATGTTTTAATACGCATATTATGTATGTGAACATAAGACATTTAAAATATAATTTGAAAAAAAAGTTCTTTTATAAGAGTATATCAAAACACACGAAAATTACCTGTAGTTATTACAAAACACTTTAAATAAAAACAAAACAGTTTATGATGAACAAAACTAACATGATTTAAAGTGCAACATCACCAGATGACCATTATAAATGGTAAAAGATTAAACTCATGAAAAAGGTTGATTTAGAAATATTCTCAAACCAGGTGGATGTTTTGTTGTTTTTATTTTCTTTGCGCAAAAACTTGACACAACGGATTCAAATAGATTTTGACATTTATATATAGATAATTTCTATGGATAAGTGCCTAAAGGTAGATCATATCACTAAACTTGTACACTTGCTATCAATTTAACACATTTTTATATTTTTTTTTATTTAAGTAATTAAAAATGAACACATCTGGGGGTATGCTACTTTAAGGTATGTCAAATATTTTTGATGACAAAAATTATAACTAAAACAAGAGGCACCAATAGACAAATATAGATTATAAATATGTTTCTGCTTGAAACAGATCAGGGTAGCAGGGCATAAATAATGATTACAACTAGATTTATAAATTTACTTCTAGGAATATTCTACGAAGTCTTATTTGGAAAACTGTACACACTTGAAAAGTTATTAAAAAAATCAATACAAGTTATTTTATATGAAGCACTCCCTTGAAAATTTTAATTTCAAGTATAACTTTTTTATACCACACATTCATATTTGTAGCAGGAAATTATGCTTGAGTACATGTAGATGCTACTGTTACTTACTGAAATTATTTGTGGTTCCATACGTAATAAATACATGTAGTTAACGCTAAACTCTGCTGGAAGAGAGTGAACAGCTTATACAAATGTATGTCATATACTTTTGGGCTGGCTAATTTTTCATCTTTACATTCCTAAATATACATTGTATAATGAACAGTTCCACAAATGGAAGCTGAACAAGTCAATTGTAGGAACCCAGCGGTTTAAGGTTTAACTCACATTGCTTATTTTACTTTGTTATTTATTTTAATTGATATTTAAAATATTTGTCAGTAATGGAATGCATGAAGTAATTAAAATGCTTTAAATCAGAATTATTATCTCACTCCACTCAATCAATTATCAAAGTCATATATAAATATGGAAATACAAAGTCTACAATATGCTAGAATGATAAACGTATAAAAATGTAAAAAAGACAAACCACACCGTCTTCATTAATAATATGAAGAACGTTTTTAAAAATCTAGTCATTACTATAAATAGCTGCACACGATTATATGAAATATCTGTTCAAGAAAAAAACAGAACAGATTTGATTAATATTTCAAAAGAATAAAAAACAACTTAATTAAATGCTTCTGCTACACCGGTGTCGCGGCCCCTTTCCCCTCGGCTGCTTTGATGGTCTCTTCATCCGCAGTGATGTGTTCTGTTTCTTCATTACTGTCACGCTGTAAACAGAAAATATTTAACTATATGAAGTATCAGTCAACAAATTGAGGATACCCGTAGAGATATTCTTGCACCTAAACTGTTTTTATTATAATCATCATTCTTATAATTATTATTCTTGAAACATGTTATCATTGTTATGTACTGATTTTTGGCAATACAACATCAAAGAAATGTCGAAGACGACCCTTAATATGGACAAAGTACATGTTTTCTGGTTTGTTGTAATAAAATGATAAAATACTTGCAACATGGTCAGTTTCTATATTTTCTACGTAATGCTAAATATCATGTACCCGCTTGGGCACGACAATAAAATATTTTGTCCATGTTTCGTAATTTAGTATTTTCATTGTTAAATAAGGTTGTGTATAAGCTATTACTAACCGATTCTGCCCATTTGAAGATGCAAATTTCTATCAAGCATATTATGCCCCCGATTATAATTCCTGCTACAACGATCAGCATGGCCGACGAAAATGTTGATAAACCGAGTTTGTAAAACCGAACACTTTCTCCCCGATCAGGTTGGGATTTTCCGGGACACTCATCTCGTTCGTCAAACCATTTCTTTTCAATCTCGTGCAATTCTCCGGTTTCAGTTAGTTTAATCAATGCTGTGTTAAGATGGCTCGCTATGGAAGAGTTCTTTTGTAGTGCAAATGCATAATGCTTGTACATAAAGTCCTCCACGTGAACCGCGTACAGATCACATGGCTTTCTGTTGGCTATGAACCTTGCTGTAGGACGCTCGACTATTGCAGCAAAATCAGATTCTTTATTATTCCGCACATTCATCACGAGACGTTGTATAGAATCAAAATCTTCATAATCTTGGTCATTGGTTGCTCTTTGATACAGCTCTTGATAAAAGGGCGATTTAGACTCGCGGAAGAACCTGTTTGTGGAGCCGCTTTTTATGAATCCTACCCTTGTGTCTGCGTTTTTTGACAGGTCTCTGCAATAAAAAGTAATCTTTAGCTAAGACAAGTGTTAAATGTATTATAACCATAACTCTAAGGGTAAAAAATGATTGTTAAATTAAACTGCTTGTGAAATAAATGTGATTTTCCATGCAAACAAAACTAAGTGCCGACATAAAGATTGTTTTAATTCGCCAAAACGCATGCAGACTTTGTTCAATTCATTATGAGACATCGCCCATTAAGAACATTTTTGTTGCCAATTGAATGAATGCGCATAAAATGATTACTTACTCAAAGCTTTTTATCTTTGAAAATTCTTGGGAGGCGAAGTAGTCTGGTCCAATACGAAGGAGGTTGGTAAGGTTGGCTGTATATGATACGATAAAGAGGATTGTGAAGCACCACCATGCAGCTACCAGAACTCGAGCCCCAATAGAGCGGGGTGCTCGGACGTAACCTGCATTCAAGAAACATGCAATTTATTATATAACTCAATAGGTAGTAAAGTGAATTGAAATGGTTTTAAACTTCTTTTTTTGCTCGAACAATTAAAACATCGGGCTAGTAATTTAAGAATCGCTAGCTCCGCGGGTTCAAACCCCGTCAGGTCATACCGTATTTTCCTTAAATAAGAAACTACACTCACTGCTCCCTAGAACGGATTGGAGAGTATGCACATGTCCTTAAGCTTTTGTGCTTCCTATATACTCGAACGATAATAAATTTGGTATGAATTTGCCGATTTATCTGTAAACAAATATTTCAATTTATTCATATAAAAGTTTTGAAATTTGCCTACTCTGTTTCAAAACTGCGTGGATCTATTTTAGAAACATTTACGGTCTTAATGTCCTAAACATTTCCACCAAAAGCAGCATTGGTAACACCATTTCGAATGGTATGGTAACAACAAAGTAACAACAAATGCATTTCTGTATTTCAACATGAAAATTTTAGCGTTTAGAGATTTAGATAGGAGGAAAACTTTCAAGTCAAATTTCTGCAGTCAAATAAACAAGAATTATTCTTTCAATGTTAGTTTAATGCACTGTCATATTCGTTTCTATACAATATGTTTATCAATGCTCATTTAACAAATACAAAATGCTTTACAAGTTAAACGTCATTACCTTGCCACATCAGCGTACTAAAAACAAAGAAGAAAGAATTGAGACACGTAAATGACTCTCCTTCTCTTATGGTTGCCTCGTGATCACGTGCCATTCTTCTCCATTCATATGGATTAAAATGCATCATGATGTACAACACAGTTCCAGTCACGAACATGGCCACAAATGCCATCAACCAGACAGACAACTCGAATGGGTATAACAGCCTGGCAAGATTATAATCGAGTGCAACTTTCCCACCTCTAGGTTTTTTCATCAAGATTGATAGCCCTATAGGCATGACAGGATAGGAGAAATCTACAGCTTCAGACCTTGGTGCGGTTACTGTAAGGAAACCTGCAATGTCCGCATCCTAAAAATACACCAGACATGAAATCGGTTTTATTTATTTATAAATTACTAATATTTATATACTATTATAATTAACTTTGTTCAATATTTAACTATTGGAAGTCATAACAGACTTTTACATGGATGTTATTTTGTCCTTATTTCGCGATTTGTATATTAAGACATCAACAGGAACTTCTATCTATACCCATCAATCTGCCTTCTTTATATAAAACTTAATGTACCAATATCCAAACTAATGAATGCAGAACCTTTGTCACATATAAACACGTACAGCGTATTTTGTTTTGTTTTCCAACATTATAAATATGGAGGATACCTAACGAATATACGCTGTAAGTCTACAGGACTAGCGCAAATGAAATTACAACAATATACTTCTTCGCAAATAGACATTCTATACTCTCCTATAAGAAAATTATTTTTTCGCGTTTTTTCTTTCCTTTTATTCGTTGAACTAGCTCGACATTACCAAAACTGGTGCTAAATAGACGTAATTTAAACTTAATTAAATTCTAGATCCGTTATATGCTTCTTCTTTGCTGTTTATAACATGAAGCAATATTTTATATCTCACTCTTAGTTTTAAGCAGTGTGGCATGATTTGTATCTCATATGTATTTTTCAATATCTTAACAAAAAAGACAAAACAAAACAAACGTAAGGTAAAGGAAAATATAATTCTTACCCCGTTCACCAATTCCCCTATCATGCCCAGCCATGTGCCATTGGTTAATTGCTTGCCATACTGACCATCAGGGGTTAAAGAGATGGTGTAATTTAGTTTAAGACTGTCCAGAACATCTGGTATAATACCGGAAAACTCACCGTCTGCATCTTTCATCAAATACGGTATTTCCTGCGAGGTACAAATATTATATGCATATCAATTTATACGGAGTTATGAAATTCCGCGATAAAAAAATAACATCTAAATTATTGATTTAATTTCAGTAAGATGTAATTATCCTTTTAATACACCTTACATGCAAAAAGAATGACCCCGTCACCGTCATTTTGTAAATCAATCCTTATTTAAAATTGAATGGACTTTTGTTTGATGACAACATGTTCATACATGTATATGAAACCATCAGATCATTTGCCGTTCTTTAAATTAAAAAAAAACAATCCATAAGAAATTCACGGATAAAATGATTGAACTACCAACAGTATACGACCTGACGGATGTTGAGTCTGGCCCGACTCTATACTGGTGTCGAACGCTAAGAAAAGGTATAAACCAAAGATTTGTTAAAGATTTGTTGTCGTTTTTTATCCAAGAAATAGGTAAGATTTTAAGTATTATGCAAGTAAAAATGTATCATATGTTTACAAAGTTAGTATGTTAAACATGAAAACACTTGATATAAGCCAAGATTGTTAGCTTAGTATGTAAGTATACGTCTTGTAAATGATGTAAAACATCAAGTGAAATGTTTTATCTGGCACAGAAATGACTGGTATAATTTATGAATTACTAAACGAATATTACACTGTAGTATACTGAAATGAAAAGTAGACAGGTATTTATTCCTGAATCTTGTTTGTTCAGTGTTATTTTGTTATAATTACATGTATATAGTTAAAGGAAGGTTTATGAAGGTGTCCGCTATCAGGTGATAAAAAAAATAAATAATCAACATAAAAACAAAGACCAATCTTCCTTATAATAAGTTAATGAAGAATGTAATGTTGTTTAAGTGTTCAATTGAAAAAGATTCGGACTATAATTCCAGTCTTAATTACTTTAATGAAATGCCGGGTACTCCTGTCTGCCTTATATCGGGCACGAACGGGCACCTGTGTAAAACCGCCGACCTTGTGCTACATGGTTACCTAAGAATTACCTAAGAATTCAATGTCACTGGTAGCGAGGTAGGTGTGTAAGTAACCTACCTATACACTCATTCATAATTGAGATGATAATTTAAGCCGACAGAAATGATAATTACAGTCATACTTACAAGCACAGACGTCACTCTAAGAGGTGTCTGGAAAAACAAACAAGATTTTTTTGTTATAAGATTATAATTTCATAATAATTACAGTGCACATCAATAAAAAACTTAGTGTCGAACATTTTTTTGTCATATCAAAGGAAAAAATTGACATAATAGGATAATTGTTTAACAATTAAATCCCTAAATTTCAGAAATGGACTCCCCCAGCTTCATTTTTTGGAACAGTCCATTATCAAGATGAAAATTGGAAGTTAGAACAATATGTTAGGCTGTACGGATTTCCAGGCTGGCCTGGCTCTATACTATTGACAACGGCGTATTACTTTAAAGAACATGCATGATATTTAAAGGGACTCCACTGAGGTTTAAAAGCCTAAAAACATAACATTTGAATTTCTTACATAAATGAGCTGGGGCACTTTAAACAGAAATATTAAGAAATATACTTTGAAATAAATTGAATGAAAATCGTATTTTTATGCTTTTTTTAGCCTGATTTGAGTGAAAATTGTTTAAAAGCTTTTCATTTTGGGTCATTTTTTTACAACTTGAATAATTATTCTGTAAAAAGAAGTGCGCAAATGATCTGAAATTTTGCACAAAGATTAGTGGTCTAAATCAACATCAAATGGTACATTTATCTGGAAAAAATATTTTCAGTCCCATCATGTTAATAAACCTCAGCGGAGTCCCTTTAAGGGTGAAATAAGCTGATTTAAAACGATTTAGCCTGTTTTATTGTGAGCATTCAAATGATTTAGAAAGTATTTCCATTTGTTAAGATATTGAAATCGGAAAATATATATAACGTATAATGCCGTATTGTATACTTAATAAAGAACAATATGAATGTATAGAAATCAGTCATTTAATGAAAAGTCTTTATATAGTTACTATGGATACTCGTCACACATTCTACTAGAAATAAAACTATGTAATTAACGTAATGTCCTTATCAAATTATACGTCTAATGTCACGCAATTTCTTTCCAAACTTCACAGATACCCATTTGAATGTAGTTTGCGTGTAAAAATGAAAAAAGTTACGCACTAAGAACAAAGTAAAACGTTACCTGAGAGTTTACTGAACTTAGATACCCAAATGCAAACAAGATCAACAATAAACATTTTTCGCGCGTATCCATTTTGTTAAAAGAGTTCCAATGGCTGTTGAGTTAGTCACTGACACTGTTAGATTCTATGTTTCTAGTCTCTTTTTATTGATCCGTACTTGAGCAAATGCTGCCATATAACTACGGAGCGCAATACGTGCCGTTGGTGATTTTTTTTTTATCAAAATATGAAATTATGTAATATGAATCTTCTTCAGATTTTATTATGAGTTTGTACATATACATGACTGTGGCATAAAACATAAAACAGGTACAGCACCTTAATTGAAGTTTAATCAAAAAGTTATCGTTGTTGCATTATTTTGAGTGAAGTTGTAAAAAAATGAATTTTTCAAACTGAAATTGCACAAAGTAAATAATATTTGGGAACATAGAAATTGATTAAAAATAATAAAAAGGTAAAAGACTAGCAAAATCAAAGTGACGAAACTTATATTGATAACCGTAACATCTCCAGTATATTCGGACGTTGTTGTGTTTTGGAAGAAACGCTATTTTCCACGTATTGATGACAGAAAAAATATGGAAGACTAATGTTAATAACATTCATAATTTATCATAGCAACGTCATGAATTCACGATTTCAGCTTTATGACTTCACGATTCCAACTTCATGAATTCAAGATTTAAATGTTGTGTTTGCAATTTCATGAATTCATGAATTTATCTAAACGAATTCAGGGTTTGAACTGCACGGTTTTAACTTTACGACTTTTTTCCATTTTAGTTTATGATGTTGAAATCATTAATTCTTGAAGCTTAAATTGTCAGAATTTAAATTAATAAGTTCATGAAGTTTAAATAATAATGGTTAAACTGTGAAAACGAGAATTTGTAAAGTTGAAATCGTACATTAATGACGTCGAAATCTTGAATTCGTGATGTTGGAATCGTGCATTCATGACGTTGAAATAGTACATTCATGAAGTTGAAATAGTACATTCATGACGTTGAAATAGTACATTCATGACGTTGAAATAGTACATTCATGACGCTGAAATAGTACATACATGACGTTGGAATCGTGAAGTACAAATCATGAATTTATGATTATTAAGTCGAAATGTCCCCACCGATCCTTCGTAGAAGAATGACCACTGTGTGTTTCTGAGGTGCCACTGCAAATGATATCTTAGACAGTTCAAACATTAATTTAGAAACAATTACCTTTTAACCACCATTATGTCATGGTCTGGAAGACGTACATTTCTTGTGAAAACCCCAGGAATGATGGTTGAAGAATACGTGAAAGTTTTAAAGAAGTTGCCTAGGTTTTTGCTAGATATAAATACCTACATTTAATTTGTTTAACTTACATTAATTTCATGTATCTATTTTATATGTAATTCTTTACTCGTCAAATTTGCAGTACAATCTTGATTTATTTATGGCGTGAATTCCCCACCATATTAAAACGTTTTCATGCAATGCAGGTACAATTACCTGCATCTAACTGAAATAACGATGTTTTCCTGCAGAAATTATGTTATGATCGATTATTACACGCAAGATATTATTTTTTTTAAAACAAAAATGTTTTTCTTAATATTGATTTTTTATTCAGACAAATCTCAATCAAAGTATACGTTACAATTATTAGATCACCTGAGCTAGCTCATGGTGAGCTTTTAGGATCGTTGAATGTCCGTTTTAACACTCTAGCGGTCACATTTTTGCCTCAATCATCATCAAACTTTGTCAGGATGGTTGGGTCTAGGTAATAGCTCGGATGAGTTCGAACATGGGTCATCTTGGATGAAAAACTAGGTCACAGGAGCTAAAAATAGAAAAACCTTGTTAACACTCTAGTGGTCACATTTTTGACTCAATTGTCATCAAAATTGGTCAGGATGCTTTTCTAGGTAATTGCTCAGATGATTTCAAACATGGGTCAACTCGATGAAAATCTAAGTCACAGGAGCTAAAAATAGATAAATCTTGTAAACACTTTAGTGGCTACTGTTTTGATCCAAATATCCTGGATATTGGTCTGGAAGTTTGTTTTGATGATTTCTAGGTCAAGTTCGAATATGGGTCACGTGGGGTCAAAAACTAGGTCACACCGTCCAAATATGGAAAAATATTGTTAACACTTTGGTGGTCACATTTTCGACTCAATTGTCATCAAACTTGGTCAGGATGCTTGTCTAGGTTATTGCTCGGATGAGTTTGAACATGGGTCATCTCGGATGAAAAACTAGGTCACAGGAGCTAAAAAAAGAAAAATCTTGTTTATTAATTAGTGCTTTCGTGAAATAAAATTTGATCTGAAATCAAGTTTGAACCTTTCATATGAACAAATAGACTGCTTGTACTAAAAAATGCCGTTGGACTCTTAACGGAGGGTCTTTTCTGAAAATCAAACCCGTCTAAAATATTCGTCAGTCAGCAGCATCATTATGAATTAAACACTATTTCACGTGCCATGGGGACAATTCGAAATCACGAAAAACGGTTCTTCGTATCTAACAAAGTGTTTCAGAATCTCTGAAGCTGTATATAAACATTGTAATAGTTATTATCATATTGATCAATTTTACAGAATATATTTTCTTTAGATACATCGATATCCTTTTAAGGAAGTATGGTTAAACAATAATTTGGGACAAATTTCCATTTATTTCCATTTGGATATTGTGTAACTTTACATCAATTCGGGACATTTGAATAATTAAGTATCTGGATCGAGGGGAAAATGAGCAGTCCTTACTAAGATATTTCAATAAAAGATATCATTCTTCTAGAATATTGGTGTTCATAAAATCACAAGAGTACGGCAAAAGGCGTTATTTACTTATCAGATATTACAGCTTGGCTGAAAAAATACGTGTTATTAGTTTGATAACAATAACTGCAGTCCTCTGTGGCTGCGTTGTCAAGGTCACTGGCTTCAAATTACTTGTCTCCCCTATCGCTGTTGGTTCGAATTCCGTCAGTGACTTTGCATTCCTTAATTTTACCAAGGTGCCCGTATGCGCCCTAAATAATGCACGACAATGTACCTTGGGATCCAATAAAGCTGTATTATATTAAATGTATAAAATACCGCTGAAAACTCATATATATGTCTGAAAATAGATATCCAAGAAATTATTATTCAATGTTTACACAACAAGGATTAATTGGGCATGTTCAATTAGAGATTTGTTATGCGAATATGGTTTTGGATTTGTTTGGTTAAACCAAACTAATGGTGATATTAATGTATTTGTGTATTATTTTAAACAAGACTTGCAGATTGTAAAACACAAAACCTGGTATCAACAGATTACTGATTCCACGCGTTATGATACATATGAGCCGCGTCACGACAAAACCAACGTAGTGCGTTTGCGACCAGCATGGATCCAGAACAGCCTGCGCATCCGCGCAGTCTGATCAGGATCCATGCTGTTCGCTTACCAACTCTATTACAAGTAGAGAAATTGATAGCGAACAGCATGGATCCTGATCAGACTGCGCGGATGCGCAGGCTGGTCTGGATCCATGCTGGTCGCAAACGCATTACGTTGGTTTTGTCGTGACACGGCTCATATATTTAAAACTTAAAACTATGTTAAATCCTGAGATGTATTTGTCTATTAATTTACCGTTTTTATGTTAGAAAAGCATTTGCTAAATTTCTTTGTTCAAGTCTTCCAAGGGTAGAACGTTATTGTTAGTATTGTTATGTAAACTTTAATATACGAATTACTGAAGATGAATTTCATGTATTCTTTAATCATAATAAATACAGACATGAATGACAGTAATATTTACTGAGCTGGTGCAATGGTACAACGTAGTTGTGAACATGGAGATTTTTGTTATTCAATTGAACTGTTCTAACGATGATAAAATAAATTCGATTGCGTATTTTTGTACTTGCCATTATGAAATATGAAATGTATTGTAACATGACACAAAACAAAGTGCATCAAATTCATTGTATTTCGGTCCGGAGGCCAATATTTACAAATTAAAGTGTTGTTGCCGTTTTTGTTGTTGTTGTTGTTGCCGTTGTTGTTGTTGTTGTTGTTGTTGCCGTTGTTGTACAATGTCGAAGCGACTTAAGCTCCAGGAGTCAAACAAATATGATAGAGCACTTATAAACACATAGATAAAAAAATAAAATTAAGTAAAACGAATATGACATGAAAGCGGATACAATAATGCATTGTTTTAGTGTATTGAAATATGGACAAATACATTTCAGATATCAAAGCGTAGGTTATTAACAACAAAAAAACTGACTCAAACAAGTGGACACGTTGATGTTCCCTGAAGGAACTTTGATATTGTCCCGACAATAACATTAATGGACTTAAATTGCATAAAGGCTCTTTCTAAACATGCGTTTAAAAGAAATCGATCAAACAAGATTATTATTTATACATATGTCGTGGATCCACACGTCAACTGCCGCTAATCAATGAATAAAAAATGACAATTTAATGGGAATTTTACAGATTGACTCATAAGTTTAAAATAAACATTTCTCAGGGGAAAGGGATGGGATGTTTAAAGTATCGCAGTATTGATTTTACTCGAGGCGGGTTTTTTACATAAGATACTGACAGTGAAAACGAGAAAATAATGGGCTGTCGAATGATGTTTTAGATTCAATGAGAAGATGAGCTAGTAATACGCCAAATAATCTGTAGAAAAAAAAATGTTAGTTGTGGGTGTAAGTACCTGTAATAATCATATTGCACATGGAATATTATGCTTCCTGTAAAACATCTTATGATCAAACACACTTACCTGCATGCCAATAAGAAAATAACAATTCAAAAGAAATGGATGTGGCACGGAGTGAATGACTAATGAGAGAATAGAGTAAGTTCAGTACCGAAAGAGCACATTTTCAAATTAACTGAAAATTAACTGTGAATAAAAAACGTAATTTTTACCAATGTTTAAATGTAAATGTGTGTAGATTAGTATTAGATTCCGGTATAATGCTGCTGGGCCGTGCTGGCACAGTCAAGTCACTCTTGCAGATCAGACCAACATAATCCGCTATGATGTGAAGGGCGACAACTCTTGATTTATAAAAAGTACCGATATAAAAAAATACGTCCTGGGGGGTTTTAAGGCTTTTCATAGATATA